TTTCACCATTATTAGTTTAAAATTGCTATCGTGCCACGCAACTAGAATCCTTAAAAACAATAAGACATGCGCTCACCTTTTACTTTAAGAGGCCACTTATCTAAAGACATTCACGGTACAACTATAACATACAAACTCACCACTGGGGAACTGAACACTGAGGGACAAGTGCTGGCGAGCGACTGAGGAATTTGTGACGGAATGATGTTGTGGCGTTGCCATGTGTCGGTTCCGTTCCAGTAGACGGACATGAACAAGAATTAAACACGTACTAGTTGATGTGCGGTCTGAAAAGACTTAATTTTTTTATATATACTATATGACTATTTATATATTTTTATGATTTGAGTATGAAAAGCCAAATTGATATTCTAAAATCTAATGCCATGCAAGTGAGGCCACGAAAAACGCCAAAAGTAAATTTTCAAAAATTTAGATTTAAAAAATAACTAATCTGGCAACCCTGACCTTCCAGGACAAAATTAAACAAAAAAATTACGACTTGATAGGTGACGTGGTGGTCGAGACTGCGCGGTGGTGATGCGCTGTGCAGGCTCGATCGACGTTACTGTAAATCATTGATGAAGTAAAGGAATGTTTGGTGCGGGTGTTTAGCTTAGTAGAGCAAGCAGGTCTGTACGAGTACTGGAATACTAGGTGGGGGTGGGAGGGAGGGAGCCTAAGCTGCACTGGCAGGCGTACGATGACTATCCCCATATCCACACGCTTGACTTTTAGTACTGTTATGTCAAGATGAACACTAAATAATGTATTAGAATTTTCTGTACTGTAGGTGAACTGAAACAAAGATTGTTCACGAACATTATTATTTTTTAATTATTTCCTCTGGCCGGAACGCTATGCATGTTAGTGCTTTTGCAAGAATGTTCCACTGAATTAGCAACATATACTTTCATAACCCATTGTTTTTTGTTATATATATATATATCCCCAAGTGGGCATGTGAAGGCATAGACGACGTTGATTTCTTTCAAGTCGTTCTGTTTGGTGTCTGGAGAGTTCATGAGTAGGTTGGCCGTTTTCTTGTTTTTCTAGTAAATTGCCAATTGTATCTTCTGATTTGCGTCTGTGGGGATAACGTTCCAATTAATAATATCTTTCAAGACACTTTCTTCGCTTTATGAGCCGTTGAAAAGAAGTTCCTGCCAAACAGTCTAATAGGAGGTATAAGTGTTGTGTTGACTCTTCAGAGGTTGTATGATATTTCACCTTTCTTTTAATGACGTCTTCAACATAACCGTTAGAGAAGCCATTGTTGACTAGGACCTGCCTTACCCTACAGTTCTTCGTCGACCTGCTTCCAACCAGAGCTGTGAGTGAGAGCTCAGTCAACGTAAGCGTTGACAACACTCCTCTTGTTCCTGTCTGGGCAGTCACTATTGGCATTAAGGCACATTCCTATGTTTGTTTCCTTAGTGAAGACTGCAGTGTGGAAGCCACCATTCCTTACCGTGACTGTTACATCTTGAAAGGACAGCTTCCCATCACTCTCCATCTCTTAAGTGAAACTTAACACCGAATTTTGTTCGAATGCCTCCTTCAGCTGCTGCAAACGTCTGACATCAGGTATCTGCATAAAAATGTTGTCAACGTACCTGCAGTATATGGCGGGTTTCAAGTCCATGTTAACTAAGACCCTCTGCTCTATGGTACCCATGTAGAAGTTCGCAAACAGGACACCTAGGGGGAGAACCCATGGCGACCCCATTTACTTGCTAATATATGTGCCCATCGAGACTCAAGAAGGGTGCCTCTTTAGTGCAGGCTTCGAGTAACTTCCTCACAAGGAAGCAAAGAGGTACCCTTCTTGAGGCCTGATGGGCACATGTATAAGCAAGGAACCAGGTACGTCATGTGCATAGTGCTCCTGGCTGTCTGGGTTCGAATCCTTCTGGGGTTTGGAGTTTTCAGATATATATATATAACTGAAATTACGAGATATATATAGAAAACCACAAACTGCAAGAACAAGCAAGGCGATTGTATTAGAAAGAACTCCTCTCGTAAACGGTTCAAACCTATGACTGACAGGGGCAGTGAACCACTTAACAAGTTCAGTACACTGACCAACTGACCACCAGACAACAAAGTCATTGCAAGAGGAAGCTATTTCCCCTCCAACAACCCAATTGCACTCTGTCAGTCATAGGTTTGGACCTTTCACGAGAGGAGTTCTTTCTAATACAATCGTCTTGCGCGTTCTTGCGCAAGTGCTGGGATGTGTGTTGATTCCCACCCATCTGCTACCACCATAGGCCGTGATGCTTGGAACTTTTTGTTCCAAGTAGCAAATCTTAAACAACAACAACATGCTGCCCCGGTGTCGGATTCCGCGGCTCGCCTGGATGCGGACGTTGGGGGTTGGTGCGGCCTCGCCCCCGCCGCCGGCTTCCAGTACCCCGTGGCGGGGACAATGCTGTGCCTGTCCCCTGGGGTTTGCCCTCCTTCGTTGCCCCGGTCTGGGGAAAGCCTTGTCAAGACTGCCGGGGACATGATACATGAGGGTCAGGTGTTGGGACTCTCTCGGGATGCCCGGGTACTTTCGATCCCATGGTGCTCTTCCGCTATCTGGGTGCCGCAGGTGAGGAAGTTTGTTTATGGGGTGGCGGAGGATGCCCCGGCCATGGGCGCCGCCTGGTCACTGGGTACCCGATGACACCATGCTGATTTGGGAAGCGTACTGCTTACGCTTTCCGGCGCGGGAGTTCCCGAAAAAAATATACGTAGACGTTATAAACACAACCTACCGTCCTAGAAAGCGGCAAGTCTCCCTCTAACGTCCACCTATGTTTTGGTCGCCGCTCCTCTATCTACAGCTCATCGCGACCAGCACTTTTGAAACATTCTCCACATTCACGCATCTCTTAACATCTGTACTGGTGCAGTCATCGGGAGGACAAACCCTTCATGCAAACGCCACCTACTATCAAGATGATGATGTAGGAGCCTATGACGGCATATACCACGGCCTTCATTCACCTCATACGTGAGTCAACAGGCTTAGTTTTCACTAAGTGCAGTTTTGATTTAGTAGACAACAAATTGGCATGATGAATCTACATATCTATCTTGCTATCTTGAGATGATTTCGGGGCTTTAGTGTCCCCGCGGCCCGGTCCTCGACCAGGCCTCCACCCCCAGGAAGCAGCCCGTGACAGCTGACTAACACCCAGGTACCTATTTTACTGCTAGGTAACAGGGGCATAGGGTGAAAGAAACTCTGCCCATTGTTTCTCGCCGGCGCCCGGGATCGAACCCGGGACAACAGGGTCACAAGTCCAGTGTGTTATCCGCTCGGCCGCACCGGCTCCTACATACTGTATAGTAAACATGTTTTGTAAAGTAAAGTATAGTAAGTATTATAAAGTAAAGTATAGTGTTTTGTAAAGTCTGTATAGTAAACTATGTAAAAATGCTTACTATACATATTGTATAGTAAACATTTTTTCTGAATTGTAAATCATTATTATTATATTTTGTGGGTTTATGTATAGCTAGGTTAGGTGAGGTGTTTAGGTTACAGTGATTTGGGGAGTGTTTACACTACAGCTGAAGGTGAACAATGCAAGTTTCGAGTCATACTCTCAAACATGACTACGTGCACTATAAACCCAAATTTTTACATTCATTTTTTTTCTCAGTACACTACAGTATTTGACTTATACGTCGTAAACCTCACAGTCCTTTGTCTGGATGACGTCCCGAAATCTTTTGATAACCACTAAACTTTGTATTTAAGTCATCACCTACTTCTTTTGAGGTAGTTGATAAAGTCAATCATTTTGTGTTGAAGTCATCATAATGCTGTCGCCTGCAGCAAGATGACACAAGTTTGATTTGATCATGCCTTCTATTGTCATAAAGTATATTTGCGAATAGTATGAAGATATACCGTAGTATAGAGAGTTTTTCTGCATTGTAATTAGCAAATTTTCAGTGCCGCCAGGCGAGAGCTTTGCGATTTTTTTTTTTTATCTTTAAGAAAATACAATATAAATTACATATACATAAGTTTTACAAATCAATTATACATTACAATTCTTAGTGAACAAGTGTTTCAGTAGTACAGAACAAGATCTTTAAAAAAAAAAACCTGAATGTTATACTTATTTACCTATAAAAGATTTACAAAAATTGGAGAATATTTACATTAAAATACAGGGGAAATTATAATATTCCAAGGCTGCCTCTAGTGAAAGTTCTGTTGTGTCGGGAGTTCTTGACTTCGTACGTAATCCTTGTATTCACTGGTGTCATTGTATTACTGTATATTGTAAATAAATGTAATATTTATATGTTCACTGTGTAATAACTTGCATGTGATATCTTAATTAACCTTTTTTTATAAAATAAACACAATACGTACAAAAAAAGGACAGGAAAACAATATACAAACATGTAACAAGAAACAAACATGAAGTAGGAAAACACACAAAACCCAGCACAATGTACAGGAATAGAGCAAAATGTACAGTAAACACATAAAACTCGCACAAAGACAAGCCATACTGAACACAGGGAATAGACAGTACCCACTGCAACACACAGACCAGGTGAAACAAACCACAAACACACACACAGTAAAAACAAAAACCGGCAAAAGAAACGCATAACACACACAACACAGACACAAAGCACATCCACACACCTGAGAGCACAAGCACACAACACAGACACAAAGCACATCCACACACCTGAGAGCACAAGCACACAACACAGACACAAAGCACATCCACACACCTGAGAGCACAAGCACACAACACAGACACAAAGCACATCCACACACCTGAGAGCACAAGCACACAACACAGACACAAAGCACATCCACACACCTGAGAGCACAAGCACACAACACAGCACATCCACACACCTGAGAGCACAAGCACACAACACAGACACAAAGCACATCCACACACCTGAGAGCACAAGCACACAACACAGACACAAAGCACATCCACACACCTGAGAGCACAAGCACACAACACAGGAAATAACATATAAAACACATAAATCAACCGTTAGTTGCTTAACTACTACTATTCAGAGTTCTTTCACCTGTGCAATATTGAATATCCTGGTTGCATCAGTCACCCAGCTTCTGCATTGACTTTAAAAATTATTGAATGAATTTGAAACAAGGGAAAAAGTTGTACAAAAAGGTTTATTATTGGAAGCCATTGATTAACGATTAACTACAAAATAAAAAAGTAATCACTGGATAATTAATTAAAAGAATAGGGAGTAATTTAATACTTTTACATTAATAACTAAATGTTTCAATTTCTTGTTGACATACCTATTACTCAAACTATTTTTTGAGTTTTAGTGGAACAATAGAAAGTACACATTGGGCACTCAAAGACACTTCTCTATAAATCAACTTAACTTTGACCTGCATTATTTCTCACACAAATTAGAGTTCTGCCACGATTGTGGGAGAAAGGATGGTTGGCAGAACTCTAGACGGGTTGTAAGGCGGGTTTCCCACCCCAACCCAGTTCTTTTTTTTTCCTTTCCAAGCTGAATGGAGGTTATCTTCTCGAACTAAGAGATTCCTCGGCATGTGATTTACAGCTTCATTATTATTTGACGTCACTAGAGCATGCATGCATGCATCCACAGTGGTCCCGTTTGTTGTGGGCTGGATGAGGTAACAGCACCATTCATTACGTTGAGGACTGGTCAGTTGCACTGTAAATTACCAAAGTCCTGCACGCAGTAAAATAGTTCCTCTTGACATTACAAAAGAGATGTGATGATGTGATAAAATGTTATCGTGAAACTTTAGGTTGAACAAGTCATTATCAATTTTACATGAGGTTTATTTAATTTTCAATCTATTTTTAATGATTCTTGATAAAAACTAAAAGTTTTTATCAAGATTAAGAAAATCAACACAATACAAAATGCCAAAAATATTAAACTAGTCTGGCAAAAAAAACACTTAAATTCTGTAAATATTTGTTGTCTTAATCACTCCAGGCACCTAATGTTATAAATTGCGAAAATTATGAGAACATTGTTAATTAACGAAAACTCCGAAGAGACGGTTATGGTAACCAACATACCAAATGCAATTTACTATGAAAAATAGCAGCTCACAAAAACCTACATTGTTTGGCATTGGTTTTATAGGTTAGGTGGGTGACTTGGATTCCTGGGTGAATTTTGTACGTTGTGGCAATTTGAGAGAATAGGCTAACGTAGCCTGATGAGTTTTCAGTCAAAGGTCAGGTATGGAGAGGCCGCACCCTGTGATTTTAACCTCAGTGATGGGGTTATGACCAATGACAGCCTGGACTACTTCCAACCCTGATGTTACCTCGCCAAAATGGAAATGATTGTTGCAGGAAGAATTATTTTGGGCAACATATCTGTAATAGTGGCTGTTGTAAGTAACATTGACGTAAGGACAACTGTTGAATGGGTGACCTTTGGTCCAGATCATAAATCCAAATTGATTGGATCCTATATTCGCTGAAGTCACTGTTCCTTCCGTTGTTGATCTATCCATATCGCAGCTGGTCTCCAGGGAAGCCAATACGTTAGTGTTACCTATCTGCATTTTGTCAATATAAGAATTAACCAAAATATTTTCTGGGTCTTGACCTATATGGTTCACACTATTTATGGCGGACCCGACAAGGGAAGGCCCCAGAGTGCCGAGGCAGAGTAGCAGGAACTGCTGTGAGTGACGCAGGTGAGGCTGTACACGGATATAGACTCGACCCAGACTCCTGTCACCAACACCCAGCTCCAAGAACACCTCAGATGGCAACTGTAAGGGAAAAGGTCATAACAGTCTGGTGGACCAGTGTCACTATGTTAATTTGATGAACAACTAAACAAATAGTCATATTAACACTAATACCAAGGGAAAACGTGTGAAAAATTATGAAAACAAAAATTAAAAGACAAACCCAAAATCGCTCATATGTAACAAAGGTTATTTTCACTGGTCATTCAATATGGTTATTTATGCATCACTTCCTTTCAGTTTTTGATACAGATAGTCTTACTAATCAGTGGGTTAACTACCACTTCTTTCAGGTTTAGCTGTACTGTACTGTATTTAATTGCTCAATAATGTTTAGGAAGTTTAAATACTTCTTATTTTAGATTTGATTTGGTTGCAAATGAATGAACATTAATTGCCCTTTAAAAATAATCACAATCTCCTTGTCTCAACTATGTTTACAAATCTTCCTGTAGAACGTCATAATTACCTGCAAGAAGAGGTGGGTGTCAACACGCTGGGCGAGTGAGTGAAGTAGGAGTCTACCATCTCGACAGTCCAGTTTGACACACTGACTGTCGGCAGGTGGTGCCTGCTGTTGTTGTTGCTGTGTGGCGGCTTCAGCAGCCTGTCTTCCCTTCTGCCGCTGTGGCAGCCTCGCTCTTCCCTTCTGCCGCTGTGGCAGCCTCGCTCTTCCCTCTGCCGCTGTGGCAGCCTCGCTCTTCCCTTCTGCCGCTGTGGCAGCCTCGCTCTTCCCTTCTGCCGCTCTGGCAGCCTCGCTCTTCCCTTCTGCCGCTCTGGCAGCCTCGCTCTTCCCTTCTGCCGCTCTGGCAGCCTCGCTCTTCCCTTCTGCCGCTCTGGCAGCCTTGACCTTGCCTTCTGCCGCTGTGGCAGCCTTGACCTTGCCTTCTGCCGCTGTGGCAGCCTTGACCTTGCCTTCTGCCGCTGTGGCAGCCTTGACCTTGCCTTCTGCCGCTGTGGCAGCCTTGACCTTGCCTTCTGCTTCAGCAGCCTTGGTCTTGCCTTCTGCTGTGACAGCCTTAGCCTTGCCTACAGCTGCACATTCTCTGGTGACTTCGGTTTCTGTAGAGTCATTTCTAGATAACAAAAGTTTAACTTATTCATATCAATATGTTTTACCTTTGCTTCAGAAACAAAGAGGGAGTCGATACTGCAAACTTTTTCAATTTCCGATGAAAGAAGCTTCATATCCTCCTCAAAATCATGCACAAAAGTACTCTTTTGGCACAGCGTGATAATATTCCGAGAGGTGCTGTAGAAAACATTTTTTATTTCCTCTTTCTTTTCGGCAACATTCTTATCTATTATAAGTTTGATGTGGTCCTTGAGTTGAGACTTCCTCTCCTGGATGTAGGCCTTGGCCAGGTGGACGTGGTGGCCGTTCTCGTGCTCGGAGTAGAGACATAGGCTACACAGGGCCACCTTACACTCCCGACACCAATACTTCTGCTCATCCCCATGCTTGCTGCACGTATCATCACACTGAGACAAATACTTCAGCTCATCCTCATGCTTGCTGCACGTATCATCACACTGACGGCAGAAATTATCATTATTAATATTTATCAAACTATTCAACATCAAGATTATGTATTTAGTCATCAAGAGTAATTAATTAGGCTTTATATATATATATGTTCTACGCTTTTTTCCAAGCTGTTGCATTATATTACACAATATTATATAGTTGCGTTTAAGGGGTCCTGACAGTAGAGTGGACAGCATTCGGTGTTCGTAGTCCTAAGGACATGGGTTTGAACTCCGGCGGAAACAAATGGGCAGTTTCTTTCACTCTGATGCATCTGTTCACCTATCAGTAACTAGGTACTTGGGAATAAGACAACTGCAACGGGCTGCTTCCTGGGGACGTGTGTGTCTGAAAATTAGGATTAAGGACTTGCCCGAAACACTGTGCCTGCAAGTGTTTGCACACGGACTCTTACCCCGGCTTACAAGAATATAAGTACTCTTGAATATATAAATAAATAAATAAAAAAATCACTACCGAGATCCATCAAATTTACTATATTTCTAATAGGATACACAATTATATATAATATATATATTACGGTATATTCATATTTTAGTGAATACCTTAAAATGCTTAAGACTCCCATGACTGAAAATTAGAAAGAAAAGTTTTATGATAAATGAATTTTAGAATTGGCAACAAGAGTTGCCGCCTGTGTGCAGCATTGTCATGTTTCAATAGGAAGTTGCATTTTAAGAACTTAAATATTTTAAGTTGCTAGTCAATAAGGCATTCGAGAAAAATTTATGTAAATATAACTGTAAAATTGATATGTAATTAAAAGTTTGTCTCCGTATAATCATAGCACATCTGGCAGTTATTTATTACCCATGAATTTACCCGAGAACCACTAACACTAGTGGCCTCAACGAGGACTGGAAGCCGGCGGCTTGTCGAAGGACCCCCACCTCCCCCCCATTTGTTTTGATGATCTTTTCCAGCTGTACTTTAAAGGTTAACAGTTTTATCATTTACGGCTTCGGCGGGTAGGCAGTTCAATGGTTTATAACCCCTGTAGGTGAAAAAGCATCTCCTGTTCTCAATCCTTCATTGTGGCTTGTTAAGCTTGAAACCCTTGCTCCTTGTTTGTGTTACATCTGACCTTTTGAAGAAATTGTCCGGATGAACATACTCCAAATTTTTCAGTATTTTAAAAGGTTCAATGAGATTCACCCTGTCATGCCTAGTTTGCAGCGTTATAATTATCAACCGTTCATGGTACGAGAGCTAAACTCTGGAATAATTTTTGTTGACCAGTGTTGCACCTTCCCAAGAGTAGCTATATCCTCGGAAGATGTGGTCATGCTTGGATACAGTAATCGAAATAGGGGCGCACCAGAGATCTATACAATTGAATCACTACCTTCTGAATGGGGTGAGAATAGCTTGAGCTACCTCATCCCTTTGTGTGTATTTTACCTCAATAAACTTATTTCAATTTCACTACCTTCTTATAATATATATATATATGTCGTACCTAATAGCCAGAACGCACTTCTCAGCCTACTATTCAAGGCCCGATTTGCCTAATAAGCCAAGTTTTCATGAATTAATGTTTTTTCGTCTACCTAACCTACCTAACCTAACCTAACCTAGCTTTTTTTGGCTACCTAACCTAACCTTACCTATAAATATAGGTTAGGTTAGGTTAGGTAGGGTTGGTTAGGTTCGGTCATATATCTACGTTAATTTTAACCTCAATAAAAAAAAATTGACCTCATACATAGAGAAAAGGGTAGATTTATCATTTCATAAGAAAAAAATTAGAGAAAATATATTAATTCAGGAAAACTTGGCTTATTAGGCAAATCGGGCCTTGCATAGTAGGCTGAAAAGTGCGTTCTGGCTACTAGGTACGACATATATATATATATATATATATATATATATATATATATATATATATATATATATATATATATGTATATATATATATATATATATATATATATATATATATATATATATATATATATATATATATATATATATATGTATATGTATATATATATATATATATATATATATATATATATATATATATGTATATGTATATATATATATATATATATATATATATATATATATGTCGTACCTAGTAGCCAGAACTCACTTCGCAGCCTACTATTCAAGGCCCGATTTGCCTAATAAGCCAAGTTTTCCTGAATTAATATATTTACTATAATTTTTTTCTTATGAAATGATAAAGCAACCCTTTTCTCTATGTATGAGGTCAATTTTTTTTTATTGGAGTTAAAATTAACGTAGATATATGACCGAACCTAACCAACCCTACCTAACCTAACCTAACCTATATTTATAGGTAAGGTTAGGTTAGGTAGCCAAAAAAAGCTAGGTTAGGTTAGGTTAGGTAGGTTAGGTAGACGAAAAAACATTAATTCATGAAAACTTGGCTTATTAGGCAAATCGGGCCTTGAATAGTAGGCTGAGAAGTGCGTTCTGGCTATTAGGTACGACATATATATATATATATATATATATATATGAGTGAGATATATACAAGAGTTGTTACATTCTTGTACAGCCACTAGTACGCGTAGCGTTTCGGGCGCATATATATATATATATATATATATATATATATATATATATATATATATATATATATATATATATATATATATATATAATAGCATATCTGTTATAACTCATATATATATATGAGTTATAACTGGTAGTTACCCCATTATTCATTATAATATGTAGTAATTACTCCATTACCCATTAGTTATAACAACTGTAGTTACCCCCATTACCTATTAGTAATAATACAGCTGGATGTGGGAATTTCCCAGCAGGTGTTTTTGTTAAATTTGAATTCTTTATAATTAAGTGAACTGTATGTTTATTTCTAAGCCTGCCAGGTGTTACCACTTGCACATCTTTGGGGGGTAGATTTATAATGCTAAATCTACCTAGTAATCTTATAATAATGAATATGGTATATAGTGGTAATTAAAATCTCATATAGAGTTAGTAGACTAACTACAAATATTAATGAATGAATTAGAAGGGCTTAGCTGCTGAGCCGATTTGTGTATGATACATCAGGTGAACGTCTTAAGAATCAGTTAACATTATCTCCTCCTGGTTGGTGGTATCGAACCCACACTTGTAACCGTAAGTTGAGGCGGCTGGATCCCGCGAAGAAATGATAGGACGAAGAGGAACACCAGGTTTATAAGTCTTAGGTAAACCATAGAAATAAAGAAGAGAAGGGCAGATGACATGGAAACTTTTAATGAGATCGAAGTCAGGAGGACAAAGACTAAACAGCTGTCTTAGTTTGCGGTTAAAGGAAGTTTTAAGGCGATTTAAGGGTTAGATGTCAGAGGGGCATATGTGCGGGAGTCAGAGAGCAAGACATCTGCTTTTCGGAGGTAGTCCTCACGGTCAAGGACAACCACCGAACCACCGAATTGCCTTTGTCGGAAGGAAGGATAAGAATAGAGTTGTTAGATTTCAAGGAGGCAAGGGCAAGCTGGAAGCGACGAGGAAGGTGGTGATTTTTAGAAAACAAGCTGTCAAGAACGGGGATAAGGGCCCCTCTAAAGGCAGACAGGTCCGAAAGAGTACTAGAGTTAGAATTGACAAACTTGTCAAAGGAACTAATGAGGTCAATGCCACAGCGCGGGCCAGGGAAAGTAACAAAATAAAGACCAAGTCCAAGAAGTTCTTCCTGGTGCTTAGAAAGAGGGGAAGATGAAAGGTTGGTAACACAGTCAGAGAGAGTATTTAGCCCAAGGACTGTTGGAAATCAGGCGTTGAAGTTTTGTTGTGCAGTGTGAAGGAGTGGTGGGAAGAGGAGAGGCGAGCAGTGTCAAATGGGATATTGCATAGATCACTGGGAAGAAGAAGAAGTCAGAGCGTTGATGTTGACCTACTGTTAGAAAAGCATCGTCAACTTGCAAGGAGGTAGCATGAATAAGTTCTTGAAGAAGGCGGGCATGTTCAGGAAAAGGAGATCCCGAAGTGTTGAACCGGAGAAAGTGACGCTTTTCGAAAAGGCTATTTAAAGGAAGGTAGAGCATCGAAGAAACACCATTTGGTCACCATTTGGTCCGGGAGACATCTCCCGTCACGCAGGGTGCAGTCGCGCCTCCACAGATCTCCAGTATCAGCTCTTGATACTGGTAATGGCTCAAAAGGGCCACCACTTACGGGCTATTCATGCCCGTGCCACCTCTTGGGTGGCTAAATCTTCATCAATCAATCATCGAAGAAATTAAACAGTAAGACGCTTTCGTGTGATATCCATATGCAGACAAGGAGTCAACGTGGCTGAAATATGTTGACCAAACCACACACTAGAAAGTGAATGGACGACGACTACCTTTGTTCCCTGACCCTACCAGGCAACATTTACATGGTGCTACCAGTTCTCAGTTTAAGCATGGCTTCTGTCTAATCTCAGTTCCTCTCAATATCTTGTATGGAGTCGTGTCTCTATTGTTTCCTCTGCTTCCAACGTTGTGGTCTTAATTTCTGTCTCTTGGTGAAACGGATCTCCTTAGTCTTGAGATCGCACTTCTCAACTTACTGTACCTTTAGGGTTTGTGATTTAATTGCTGCTCATATTCAAAATCAATTATATGTAATATTTTGTCAATATATGTAACCTGAGGAACATGATTCATATCTTTGTGTTTTCTCATGTCAGATTAATTTGAAACATTTAAAATACTAAGTAAAATTTGCCAAGACCTCAATACCAGAAATTCATTGAAAGTTGAGGAGAGGCTCAGCAGGGAGAAGTTGGTAGAGATTTGTCACCGCAACACAACAGGTATTGTGACCTGCAGGTTGGACCAAGGGCGTTTCCGGTCTTCACCACACTGGTGACGCAGCTGCGGCAGAAGGTGTGGCCGCAGGACAGCACCGAGGGATCCCGCGGCCCCTTCTGGTACACCTCTGAACACACGGCGCACCGCCTTCTCCGCCTCTCTTCGCCAAGCTCTCCACGCGATCAGCCACACTTGGCCTGCTTTGACTTCAATTATTAGGGGAACAACGAGAATATTTCTCGGAGACAGACGCCTCCGAATCACTCTCCAATCGACTAACTAGTGTGAGAGCACGCACGCACACATACATTGCCTGTTCGAGGGTGGAGGCCAGATGCTTAGGGCTAGCTTCAGTAAACATTGTAGGATTAATGGTGAAAGAATCAGGAGTGACATGGGGGGATGGAGAATGAACCGGGTATCCTCCTGAAAGGGGTGCATGGCCCCAATGCCGTATGCAGACTTCACGAAGTCTGTGAATGTAAAATGTAGCTGCGTGTGGGCAGAGGGGGAAAGAGACGTGGAAAGGACGTATGTGGGCTGAGAGCAAACGAGGGAAAGAAGTGTTGCAATAGGTTTGGAAACCTATTCATCAGTTGATTAAAAATTGTGCTGTGGGACCAAAGAGCCACAGTTCAACCCCAGTAAGCTTAAGTAAATACAATCAAGCATGTACAAACATAAATGAGGGTCGGGCATCACTGCACCAGACGGCCAGTAATTAAGACAGGGACCCAGGAGATGGAGCTCAACCCCCTCCCCCCACCCCACCCCACAAAACAGCTCGACAAAACACAAGTACGAGAGATTTACCTGAATTTCCCGACTTTCCACGTAGGTGGCAGATAACCCGAGCAGCGAGAAGCAGAGAGGTAGGTTGTCCACCTCCAGGTGGCTGAAGTCTCTGCGGCAGGTGGGGCAGACTAACCCGTAGTCGTCGTAGAGGTTGAAGAGGCAGCTGCGGCAGAAGGTGTGGCCGCAGGGCAGCACCAGAGGCTCACGGGGCCCCTTCTGGTACACCTGGGAACACACGGCGCAGGTCACCGCCTCCTCCATACCAGCTCTCTTCGCCAGGCTTCCCACACGATCAGCCACGTCTGAAACTAGTAAATAATCAATCATTAACCTTCAACTTATTTAATATTATTATAAATACAAAAATAAGTAATGATAATGTCTTCTCACAGACAATGACAGGATAAAAACCCACACTTGTGTATTTGTGAGTTTAATATAAAGATTTACACCAGGTATTTCACACTCTCCCGAGTGCTTTGTCAAGGTCTGAGTGTGTAGTTAGGACGATGTTTACATCTCAAAGACTAATACGGCTCTTCGCATTAGTCTCAACGACTCGTGCAGCTGCCGCATTAGTCATTGAATGCAAGCCTCATCCTAACCACACTCAGACCTTGACAAACCACTCAGAAGAGTGCAAAAGACTTGGTAAATATTTATATTAAGTTCACAAAAACATAATCGTGGGTTATAAAGCAAAATTTGACCAAAAATAGTCAATTTTTTTAAATTTAGCTAAACATTAGGTTTAAATTTTGTTTGACTAGAATTTGGGCTGTATGCAAAGCAATAATAACCAATAAGGTCGTCAATAGTCACATTTCCAGGATGATGCAGTGTCAGGTCAGGTTCAAGTTTTCGACAAAATATATATCAAAGGGATAGAGTAAATTAGGCCCCTGAAGGAAAATTACAAGGGCTTGTAGAGTAAATTACAAGGGCTTGTAGAGTAAATTGCAAGCTCCTCAAGGGGCTATTACTATCATCTAATACATTACATTAGAGGATAGTAATTATTACAACGGAGTTATCACAACCTCAAATACAAGTCCCTTAAAGCGGCTATTATTACTGTCCTCCATTAAAATTCTCTCAATTTACTCACGAAAATGCTTTTGCAATACATACATCCTATTTATCATAAGTATTACATTAAAACAAGCTAATCACATATCAAAATTATACAAAATTTTACGATTACATAAAAACCAATTCAATATATAATACAATAAAATCAATTTATCATTACATCGTCGGAAGAAAGTTTTAAAACTAAGAATTTTTAATCTAGCAGTTACACCTACCCATAAAATTTAATGATACATTACAGATTATCTTATAGAAATTGATAGATAAATATAGAAATAAAATTGATAGATAAATATAGAAATATCTATCACTATCTAGTACATAGTGATATAATGTGACGACGCGGCATAGATTTAAAACGCGAAGCCTATGCCTTTCACAATTATTCAACTATGACAAAAACATAATACAGAAGCGGTATACACGAACTTTGCATATGCATTTGATACGAGATGAGGAGAATAGGAATAACAGGTAAAGTAGGGCGATGGATATTCAGTTTCCTGCCAAATAGAATGCAAAGAATTAGTCAAAAGAATAACAGTTAATCAAACAAAATCAAGTCCAAGCACAGTGAAAAGCTCTGTACCTCAGAGGCACAGTCCTTGAATCACTGCTTTTTCTCACTGCCAAATCAGATATAGACAAAAATAAAAAATCACAGCTTCGTATCATCTTTTGTAGATGCCACACAAAATCAACATGAAAATTATGTCTGTAGAAGACACTGAAATCTAAAAGCTGATATTAATAGTCTTCGAATGGATAACGGACAATTAACATGATGTTGAACAATGATAAATGCCAATTACTCCGGTTTGGACAAAAATAAGAACTTAAATACATAAATACTACGAAATACAGGGTACAATCCATATCAGATCTCATAGTAGGATAACACCATGTAAAAGATCTAGGGAATAATGATGTCTGACGACCTGACAGTTTTTTAACATAGCCAAGCAAATATAGCGTCAGTCAGAAAAAATGATAGAGTGCAAGGATTTCATCACAATGCTCATACTATTCAAATCACTGATGTTATCAGGAGTACTGCTCGATACTCGCTTCCCTTTTCAGAGCAGGAAAGATTGCTCAAATAGAGGGGAATACATACACGGATCGCAGACACGATAAAGCACCTAAATTATTGGGACCGTCTAAAAGCTATAAAAAATGTACTCTAGAAAGGATATGAGAGATTATACAAGGAAAATACTGGAAAGCAGGTCTCAAATTTTGTACCAAATTTGCACAGTAAACTAACAACATACTGGAGCGAACAATATGGGAGGAAATGCAGAGTAGAGCCAGTGAAGAGTAGAGGTGCTATTGGCACAATTAGAGAAGACTGTATGTACATCAGAGGTCTAAGGCCGTTCAATATCTTCCCACCAAGTATAAGAAATTTTGCTGTAACAAAGTGGACTTGCAGAAAAAAAATAAGAATTGAGTTTCCTGCAAGAAGTGCTGAACCAACCGGGTTGTGGTGGATATGTGCTCCAGCGGCCCACTCAAAGCAGCAGCCTGTTGGACCAAGTTATCACAGGTCGAGCCTGGCCGTGGGTCGGGCTTGGGAAGTAGAACTCTCAGAACCATCTCCAGGTACTACATATTTTACATTCATTATATTTTTCAGACACCAATACGGTATTGCCAGTAATATTTTTGTCCAATCTTAATCTCATATATACCGAGCCCTTCCATATACACTTTACCCCAAAATATGTGAAAGACAAGTTCGTGCTTGTTAACGTATTACTGCTATCCATAATTATAGATCTTTACTTTTTCTATATCCATTAGGATAAGCTTGATTCCTTTGTCTTAATTTATTTCAGAGTTATGACATGTCACATGGACATCAGCTTTTTGTTTGCCATCGTTGGTTCTGCACAAACAGTTTTATTTAACACTTCCTACATGTGAAGAGATCCACATAAATCTTAGTTTGCACTAATTCTGTTTACTTTCTTAAACTGAGCTCTTTACACTGAACCACAGCAGAAAACCACATAAAATGGACTTCTATACTGTTTAATGATGACTACTGTCTATATAGAAAACAAGCATTTTTACCTCCCTTAACTACGTTTTTCAGCCCTGCTAATATATCACGGAATTCAGCCTCCGTAAAAATGGCATTGGAGATCGTTTAACAAACGGGGCTGATGTCAATGTACTCCCAGATTAAAACTTCACATCCTAACGTTAACGTTCCGTCCTTAGCTACCCAGCCATCGCAATAATTACGTAGTACTTAATTTAAGTGTTCACTACTGGCTCACTATAGCCCGTACTACTTGGAACTTTTTGTTCAGAGTTGCTGAATTCAAAAACAACAAGATGCCACGCTTAATCAGTTCATATGAGATGTCCTTGTACACCTTATTATAACTAAGGAGCAGCCATATTCCTTTTTTCCTTACAACTTTAACCATCCCGTTAGTCTTTAGGTAGAATAGCTTGAACTCACTTTGTATCACAGCTATTTCGTAACTATTGACCTTCTGTCTTCTCTATCATTTTACCTATTTATTTTGTTTTGACGTGAATGGTGAGAGAATGTAATATGGATATCACAGTAAAAATCTATAAACAAAGAAAATAATTTAGTAAGGTTCAAGACCTCACTCTTGAAAACCTTTTCCCACTCGAACATGAACTTCCCACACTTTAAGACCACTCTTCAGCAAGACCTTTGCTGAATGATTACAAACATTTGAAAAAAAAACTAGGCTCTTTAATCATAACAATTCATAACACGGTCTAGCAACCCCATTCACAGACTTCGTGTTTAGACTACCTCTGATGTCTGTCTTAATTAACATAAGAACAAGGTAACTGCAGAAGGCCTATTGGCCCATACTAGGCAGCTCCTATCTATAACCACCCAATCCCACTCAAACATGCCCAACCCACGCTTGAAACAATCGAGGGAATTTAACGAGAAATTATTTTCTCTACAGCTGCTGATGAATGAGATAAAACAATTAAGAGATAAACTCACCCAAGGTCGGGAAAACTGGCCATTTGTCAGTTTACTGTAAGTTCTTTATTATATCAAAACGTTTCAGGGTCCTAAGGCATTTCAGCATTTTTCATATTTCATTTCAGCATATTTCAAGTTAAAGGATAGATTTATCCATTCACCATTTATATTACCATGTAACGAGACAGGTTATCTTGAGATGATTTCAAGGCTTAGCGTCCCCGCGGCCCGGTCCTCGGCCAGGCCTCCTTTTTGTTACACATCCCCAGGAAGCAGCCCGTAGCAGCTGCCTAATGCCTAGGTACCTATTTACTGATACAGGAACATCAGGGTAAAAAACTCTTGCCCATTTGTTTCCTTCTCCACCGGGGATCGAACCCGAAACCTTAGGACTACGAACCCCGAGCGTTGTCCACTCGGCCGTCAGGCCCTAAATACAGCCGACAGGATCAAAGTTAGGGAAAATACCTAATAATTCACTCAAATCGTTCTTTTCCTCCCTGGTAGCAATACCAGGATTAATTAGTGCCCCAAGACGAGCTAGTACTTTGCATATTCCAATGAACTTTTTTTTTTATTCGCGCATCAAGTCTGTTACAAAAATTGAGACATTTGACCTGGAAACAAGAGAAGCGTCTGTATTCAATTCTCACCGAATCATTCTATGTACTTTTGAGCCTCAGTAAATATCTGTATGTTTAAAATTATGGGGATCTCGGGTGATCACAGATTTTTTTTTTTTTTTTTTTTTTTTGAGATATATACAAGAGTTGTTACATTCTTGTACAGCCACTAGTACGCGTAGCGTTTCAGACAGGTCCCTGGAATACAATCCCCTGCCGCGAAGAATCGTTGTTACAACCAAGTACACATTTTACTGTTGAGTTAAACAGAGGCTACAGTTAAGGATTTGCGCCCAGTAAATCCTCCCCGGCCAGGATACGAACCTATGACATAGCGCTCGCGGAACGCCAGGCGAGTGTCTTACCACTACACCACGGAGACGTAAATAAGGCATTTATCAATCGTTCGTAATAATTTGAAAGGATTGATTTGTATAATAAGAGATTTTTATCGAATGCATGGTGTATCTCAACACCTTCACTCTAAAATTCCTTCTTCAATTTAGTTACAAAAGGTAGAATGTTGAGGTTCACTACCTTAACAGAACCGGCGGCATCAGGGAGAGGGTAAACACGCCCCTCACACCGCCCCAGAAACGCCTGAAATGCAGCCTGATGGCGAAACGTGACCCCGGCGCGGTTCCCCTGCAGCAGCTAGACGCCCACCAATTCCGACAACTGCACATGGAGAACATCCACCAGGGCAACACCAACCAACAAGTGGTCCACTGGCACCGTAAAAGCCAGACCAGCCGACGAGGTCCTCTTCAATGGAGGCCGGTAAGACACCCCATGTCTCCTCAACAGGCGTCCCACGCCCACCCGGGGGACAACACCCTCCTCACACAGCCACTAGGGGTGGAACTGGCGAGCGCTACTAATGACACGTCTGCACCCAACAGCCGCCAACGAGCCAATCCGAACAACTAACTACTCACCACTGGGGAACTGTACACTGCGGGACCTGTGCTGGCGAGCGACTGAGCAACTTGCGAAGGAATGAGGTGGCGTTGCCGTGTGTCAGTTCCCTGCCAGCAGACGGGACATGAACAAGAATTAAACACGTACTAGTTTATAAACAGCCTGAAAGGACTTAGTTTTTTTATATAACAAAATTAGGTATACACAGCAATGTGCTGCTACCCTATTCTATATGAGATATTACACAGTGGAGATGAAAAACTAGCTATAGATTCAACTAATATTCCCATCTCACAGGATGGTTAGTCATACATGAAATTAGGGGAGATAATACCTGCCTTAATACAAAAACAAACCAGCTCTGACTTAATTGGTTATAAGTTCATCACTTAACAGGTGGTGGAGGCTGCAGGGTTGACGTCACAGAGTCGTGCTGCACCACAGTCTTTCTCAGTTTCTACTCTAGCTCCATCTACTCTACATTTATTCTAAAAACAGTTCACAACCACAAATAAAAGTCACTGTAAATCATTGGTGAAGCAAAAGATTGTTTGGTGCGGGTGTATGAGTACTGGTCAGGATTGGGGGGGGGGAGTCTGAGCTGCACTGGCAGGCGTACGATGCCTATCCACATATCCACATATCCAAACACACGCTTGAATTTCAGTACTGTTAATGACAAGATGAACACGAAATAATGTATTAGAATTCTCTGTACTGTAGATGAACTGGAACAAAGGTTGTTCACAAACATTATTATTTGTTTAATTATTTCCTCTGGCCGGAACGCTATGCGTGTTAATGCCTTAACAGGAATGTTTCACTTAATTACCAACATATATTTTCTCTTCTGTTCAAACAGATGATCTCGGCTTGGTACAGTGTTCAGTTCGCCGTGTACGCAAGTCCTACATAACTTGTCCTTTTGCCATATACTAGGAGAGAACCGTTTAATTATTTCACCAATCTCACTCATATAATACTTTCCTAATATCTCTTGTAAACCTTCACTTACTATAACAATTTGTTAAAAAATTTGGGTGCGTCTATGTTAATATAATTTAATAAAACTAAGCTTCGGCCAGGCTGTCAGTCAGATTTCATGTCAGTGTTGGCATCACTTCCATTAATGCCTTAACGGGAGACATCTCCCGTCACGCAGGGTGCAGTCGCACCTCCACAGATCTCCAGTATCATCTATTGATACTGGTAATGGCTCAAAAGGGCCACCACTTACGGGCTATTTATGCCCGTGCCACCTCTTGGGTGGCTTAATCTTCATCAATCAATCATTAATGCCTTACTGCATCATGAAGGAGTGCAACTTAAGATATTTTTATTGATAAGTTTATCTAATGCACAACACGGGAGACATCTCCCGTCACGCAGGGTGCAGTCGCACTCCACAGATCTCCAGTATCAGCTCTTGATACTGGTAATGGCTCAAAAGGGCCACCACTTACGGGCTATTTATGCCCGTGCCACCTCTTGGGTGGCTTAATCTTCATCAATCAATCATTAATGCCTTACTGCATCATGAAGGAGTGCAACTTAAGATATTTTTATTGATAAGTTTATCTAATGCACAACACGGGAGACATCTCCCGTCACGCAGGGTGCAGTCGCACTCCACAGATCTCCAGTATCAGCTCTTGATACTGGTAATGGCTCAAAAGGGCTTACGGGCTATTCATGCCCGTGCCACCTTTTGGGTGGCTTAATCTTCATCAATCAATCAATCTAATGCACAGGTTACGTGCTTGTTTATCTTAAGACAATGTTGATGCACTCAAGATTGCCTCAACGGTAATGTCACTCATTCGCTCGTTTGGCGATATCAAATTATTATTTTTCTGTATTCGAGTATTCACAGCAATGTAAATGGAGCTTAGTAGACTCAGTGTAAATATATTGCAATTAACAAATTATTAAACAGCAAGCAACTACAGTAGTCAGTGGTGAAGGAGCGTGGGAGTGTCACCCAGGGTGGGAACAGTGTTGCCAGATTGCGCTACAAATAGCGAATTGGGCTACTTTTGAGAGGCCCCGCAAAAAAAAAAGAAGGGGGTGGTAGGAGAAAAGCACACAGAAACTGTATTGGAGGGGACCTACATTCCCTCCAATGCGTTATGTGTGGTTTCCTCCGAGGCTATGGGTCCCCCTTCTTCCAGCCAGAGGTGGTACTGGTCCACAAACAGGGTCGAACGCACAAAACACTTGACTGTATTTAAACTCAAATTCAAATGTTTATTTAGGTAAAATACATACATACAAGGGGTGATACAAAAATTGATGAATTTATAGATAGAGCTAGTACATACAATGCCTAAAGTCACTATTATGCAAAGCGTATTACAGGCTATTCATGCCCGTGTCACCTTTTAGGTGGCTTAATCTTTAGCAATCAATTAATCACTTGCCTGTGGCCAGTTTTTGAGTAGACTCCTATTACATTGACTGTGTGATAGTTATACTTATATATAATAATTTGTATTAAGGGTAAACGCCTAACATGTAATATTAATTAATAAAAACACAAGCCTATCTCCACACGTCTATTGTGTCAAAGTAAAGTTGACGTAAAAAGTATAAGTAAAGTTAAAGTTGTGTTCTTCTGCCCGAAACGCTACGCGTGTTAGTGGTTTTACAAGAATGTATAAACATCAATGCTATGTACTCTCATAAACCCATTGTAGTTTCTTGTATATATATAAATAAATAAATAAAGTATTTTGGGCGCTCATGTACTTGTGCGCTAGCTGGCGTTCACAATTGATCTAGTCTTCAAGGACTAGATTTAGTCAATCATAATGATAATAATGTTTATTTATTTAGGGGGAATAAATTTCTGGGCACTAATTAATAATGGGCATCATTAATAATCGTAACATTATATTAATTCATTTTTTGTTGTATTAAAAATATAAAATATGAATCAACAAAGTTTCACTCGGAGATACCTGAGTTTACCCGAGTGTACCTGAGTTTACCTGAGAGCCACTAACACTAGCGGCCTCGACAAGGACAAGAAGCCAACGGCTTGTCGAAGGTCCCCCTATTTGCCTTGGTGATCTTTTCCAGCTGTACTTTAAAAGTTAACAGAGTTTTTGAATTTACGGCTTCGGCGGGTAGGCGGTTCCATGGATTAATAACCCTGTGGGTGAAAAAGCATCTCCTGTTGTCAGTCCTACATTTGTGGCTTGTTGAGCTTGAAACCGTTGCTCCTTGTTTGTGTTACATCTGACCTTCTGAAGAAATTGTCCGGACCAACCTCTCATTCTTATTGGCCTTGCCTACTTCACTATTTGACTTACGACTGGCATCACTTAGCAACCATTTCACTTCTGGTAGTAGCCTTAGTATACATAGCTTAGTTAACTTCTGTGACTCATTTACTCATAATTAACACTATATATTGTTTACTTAAGGATTACATTCACACTTCACAAATGTGTGCAGTGTGACTGACAAATGTGTCGATCAATCATCGGGAAGAATGTACGATTGCGAGTTACACGTAAGTAACTAAGCTATAAGTAATTGTTTTTTTTTTCTTTTTTTTTTGAGATATATACAAGAGTTGTTACATTCTTGTACAGCCACTAGTACGCGTAGCGTTTCGGGCAAGTCCTTAATCCTATGGTCCCTGGAATACGATCCCCTGCCGCGAAGAATCGTTTTTTCATCCAAGTACACATTTTAATGTTGCGTTAAACAGAGGCTACAGTTAAGGAATTGCGCCCAGTAAATCCTCCCCGGCCAGGATACGAACCCATGACATAGCGCTCGCGGAACGCCAGGCGAGTGTCTTACCACTACACCACGGAGACTGCACTGTAATAATTAATTAATAATGTAATAATTGTAATTAATAATAATTGTAAATATAATTAATACTAAATAATATTATTTAATAAATTAGTCCCAATTCAATGCAGAGTTTTCTTCCAAGCACAGAAACTTGTAAATATAAGTACAAGATAATAGATAGATCGATAAATAAATAGACAACTTTCACATATTGCCCCAAGTAATGGCGAGAGGAAAAAACTAGACAGTATACATTAAATTTGAAATTAATAATGGATGAATGGTAATAAATTGGTGTATGTTTGTATGTATACCAGACGAAGTCCATTTAATGGCAGAATTTAGCCATTTTGTGGAAAAACTTTTATAGCTCATATTATTAATTATAACAGTAACTAAAAAAAGTCATAGTTTGTATATACAAGAGATGAAACAGAGAGCCATGAGCTAGAGCGATGTGCTGAGTCCATTAAGGAGGACGAGCTTCCAGAAATACCTTCCTGTGATTGGCTGTTGCGGGGAATACCAACACTCTTTTATGAATAAAATTATAACTAAGAAACAGGTCCTTGTACGCAACAACCTTGTTGTTGTGAAAAAGAACAATAATTTCTGTTTTGCACCTGACAGAAATCTCCATCTAACTGAATAATTTACTCGAATAAGAGGACAGAGCAGTGTATCATTATTTGTGTCAAGGCAACCCCCAATAATAACGTCCCAAGTCAGGTAGCCAGACCATTTTTATGTAACATTCGTTACATCCTGCAGTATTTAATTATCACTATATTAATACTTTTAAATACTTAACATTTCACTTTTTAGGTAGATTAAAGTTGAAGCAGAATGTCATAAGCAAGGATGGTGTGCTGAATAAATATGATTTATTAAGTGGATGGAGCCTTTAGCTGATCCCTTCCTGTGATTGGCTGTTGTGTGAATGTCAACAAGGAATATCTACCAATGATATGCCATTTATTATGCACTCCATACCATCTGTGGGCGGAGCTTGGAACCTCCTACCCGAGCACAACAACCCGCCTTATGGGTTGCTGTTTGGCTATTTATAGTGCGTTGGAAAAAAACTAGATGGCGTTAGTTGTATTTTGTAGGGTAATTTGTTATAAGTGTAATTTGATGTCAACAGATGGCGTAAGCTGTATCTTATGGCCACTGTTGACCAGCCAGTTGATAGTGTTCTCTTCTGCCGACAGATGGCATCAGCTGTGTTATTATTACTTCCGAATTCCCTTTAAACACTGATCTACAAATCCCTTGGCTTATGATAAGGTTTTATACCATTTATGATAAGTATTAGATAACTGGAGTTCCGCAATTACTTTTATTTATCAACTGTTCAGGATATCATCATATAACGTCTGGTTAGGACGTACTGCTCTCGATTGATGAAGATTAAGCCACCCAAGAGGAGGCACGGGCATGAATAGCCCGTAAATACTGCTCTCGTAATATTATTCAGGGGGGTGGGGGAACTATCAAGTGAAAGCGCCACGCTATTACGACAATATAGCACTCGGAAGGGATCAGGATACGGATTTGAGATGGAACGGGGGAAAGGAATGGTGCCCAACCTCTTAGGCGGTCGGGGATTGAACACGGACCTGTAGGAAACGAGACCGTCGCTCTACCGTCCAGCCCAAGTGGTTAAGCGTAATATTATTAAAACAACAATTTATGCATATAATAACAGCATTCCACACTAAAAATACTTGGATATATTGAAATTTGGTAGTAAATTCCAATCTAGGAATCTCCTATGAATAAACTGTACTTTTTAATTATTTTTATGTACTTACTACTTATTATTAAGTACTTACTATAATAATTAAATGAATTATTTTATTTAATATTTAAATTAAATGATAAAATAATAGGTAATAATAAATCATTGTGTAGGGGGACAGGCAGCCAGTGTGTATATATACATGTTAGGCTTATACCAAGGTCCCACAAAGGTGCCACAAAGGTGCCAAATTAAAGACTGGGAGCTGCCGGAGCGGGCCCAAGGGCTGCTGGCGGCCCTGATGGCCAGGCTGAACTTCCGCGCCCTTATAATCACCATTGTTTAATAATCTTCACAGGGAGAAACAACTGTAAATATAGGAATAGTTTATTACGGGTTCTAAGGGGTTGTCATAGCCAGGGGGTGGTAATGGGGGACGAGCTCCCATGACCTATAAAATGCTCCTATACAGCATGCGTCTCCAATAGCCTCTGACAACCAAGTCCAACTCCTGGCCTGCACGGGTGGCTTAGTCTTTAAGTCCGGCGGAACTGCTTTTACTGACAGGAGAAGGGGCGAGGGCGTGCCTCTGGCGCCTTAAAACCAGCTGCTCCGGGTAGATGGGACTCGATAGCCTGGGAAGGCAGCCCATCTAGGGGAAGGAAAACCCTGATTTTAAACCTCCGCTGCCTTGCGGCCATACCCCTTTTTTGGGAAAGGCTTCAGGAGTCAACCTCGAGGAAAAATCCGGAGTTGGAGCCCCTATGGCAGTTCGTTGTTGACGTCGACCTCGTTCTGGCAGCTCCTGCGACGTTGCTGGAATCTGCGTATTGGCATTTGCCTTTCTATTGGATAATTTCAGCAACGTGGAGAGGGGGGACTTGCTGCATGGATAACAGCTTCTCCTCCATATCTACCTACCCAGGCTTTGCGCCCTGTCAGGGCGCAACTCCATAGTCTTCCAAGACTGAAGGATGCCTACTACTACTAGTTTATTACAACATATACGGTAAAGAAAACAGCTCGGAAACTAAGGATATTTAATTAAGCTGCCGAAAAAACATTAAAGTCCACTTCAAGTTCAAGTATGTTTATTGAGACAATAAAAAAATACATCTCAAAGGGATAGAGTAGCTTAGCCTATTTCTACCCCCCCCCCCCTCTCTACTTCAAGTCCTTCAAGGGGCGCACAAATTCAGTGAGTACAAATACACAAATCACAATACAAGAATCCCATTTAACATAGCAGGTTAAAATAGGAAGCACAGCATATAAGTGTTACAAGTGAGTTACAAGTTACAAGGGAACAAGTGAGAAGGCGGTGGAGGACAAAACCGGAATTGCTCACTGATTTTAATGCAGATATGTCGTGATTATCATAATATAAAGATGTTAAGGCACGAAAACCTTTTTATTCGTTAAATTGTATAAGGCAATTAAAAGAACCTAACTCACTCGAACCCATACCTCCAGAAGCAATGCAACTGATGTACGGGATCCCTTAACCACTCGACCAATACCGTGAGTTTTCAGTTGCATATATGCCTGGAGACCGTTCAGGTTTGTTAGCATTTGTGTTCCTCACGTGTGCCCCAAAGAATGAGGTCATTTGTTAAAATACCATGCCCAAGATTACCAACAGAGTGCCGGCGGGGGAATGGGGAATTAGCCTCGGCTACCATCCTCTTGTGTCCGGTCGTGTTGGTCGAGTGGTTAAGGGATCCTGTATATCAGTTGCATTGCTTCTGGAGGTATGGGTTCGAGTCACCTCTCACAATTAACATCGTGTAGTGTACTCTATATATCAAAATATATTACTTTGAAACCCATATCATTCACTAAAAAAAAAAATTGGGCTACTCTTATTACAAATTCGCTACTTTTAGGCCGTCAGCTCGCTACTTTCCGCAATTTGGATCTGGCAACCCTGGGAGGGAGTCCGCCACACTAGGCTCTCCCAGGTCAGCAAGGTTGAGGGAGTTGACAGCCATCAGCTTCCTGACGTCAACTGTTTTCACTCTGAACACGCTTGTCAGCTTAAGATTTCTTAAGAGTGTGGCAGAGGTTACACTTAGTATACTTTATACAAACAAATATTCGTGTATTTTGACCAGACCACACACTAGAAGTTGAAGGGACGACGACGTCTTCAACTTCTAGTGTGTGGTCTGGTCAACATACTTCAGCCACGTTATTGTGACTCATCACCTGCAAATATTCGTGTAATTTTAAGGAATTGTGCAATTGTTTATAAGGCATTTAAGTGTATCTTATAATTAAGACGCAAGACGATCTAGACAGGGTTTTGAAATGGTCAAAAAATTAGCATATGCAGTGTAATGCTGAGAAATGTAAGCCTGTCTGATTGCTCGCATCTCACGCCTTGCTACTTACTCTCCATCCCATTCTCAACTGCTGTAAAGCTAACTTTGGTCTTCGACATAGTTCAGAACTGAAGTAGAATCTCAGTGTGTATATATACACCGAGAAACATGGTATACAACTCTCGCTGTATAGATAAAATTTTGATACGTTCTGTTGCCTCCACCTGGCAGGCAGCAGCCAAGTGACCAGTACACCCACACTTGACTGTTGCCTCCATCTGGCAGGCAGCAGTCAAGTGACCAGTACGCCCACACTTGACTGTTGCCTCCACCTGGCAGGCAGCAGTCAAGTGACCAGTACGCCCACACTTGACAGTTGCCTCCACCTGGCAGGCAGCAGCCTAGTGACCAGTATACCCACACTTGACTGTTTTCTCCACCTGGCAGGCAGCAGCCTAGTGACCAGTACGCTCACACTTGACTGTTGTCTCCACCTGGCAGGCAGCAGCCTAGTGACCAGTACGCCCACACTTGACTGTTGCCTCCACCTGGCAGGCAGCAGCCTAGTGACCAGTACGCCCACACTTGACTGTTGCCTCCACCTGGCAGGCAGCAGCCTAGTGACCAGTACGCCCACACTTGACTGTTGCCTCCACCTGGCAGGCAGCAGCCTAGTGACCAGTACACCCACACTTTAAACAAGTTTTCAGTTGTACATTGTAGATAAATCTAATATATTAACTTGCTACTGACACTGATGAAGGAATATTATGGTGAAGTTACCTTTTCACTGTTCTTGAACCATTGAAACATCATTTGCCTGTTATGAATCAATAATACTTGATTCTGACATTTATCATGATAAAGCATTAATACTATTAATTTCTTTCCTCAGTCATATGGAGATTGACATTATATCCTATTATTTTCTTGAGTATATTGTTTGAGTTAACTGTAGCATGATGTAGTGTGCTTGTATGATATATTTCTTTAATGTTATTGCAGGTTTATTCATGTGGGTGGGGACAGTGGCGTCTCCTGGGGGAATGCAGACTGTTGCAGCCGCGTCCAACAGCCTGGTTGATCAGTCCAGCAACCAGGAGGCCTGGTCGACGACCGGGCCGCGGGGACGCTAAGCCCCGGAAGCACCTCAAGGTAACCTCAAGGTAAGTAAGGTATGCCCATATATGGAGTCCGCACTGATGCCCGACATTGTACCCAACTTTGCGTCAGGATTTAATCCTTGTAATTATTCTGTCTTGTAGTACACTTTTTTTTAATTACACCTTATTAATGATAAATGTATATTCTTTTATTTATAATTATGTTTATAAGTATTGCTCTCGGTTAGCAGTTTTTTTTTTATTATTATTATTTTCTACCACAGACGTGGCCACACATTTACAATGCTAACTAGCATATATACATTTTCTTCTGTCCTCCGTGGACAGGGTGAGAGATCTGTCAAACATACAGTTCAGAGATTTATTGAACAACCACAGAAGGTGATCGTCGTGCTTTTAAAATGTTAGGCTAAGCTACAAACGTAAATACATAGATACACAGATTTATGAATGCATTAATGTGAATTTATAATGGTGAAATGTAATTCTGATCGGCTTTATGCTTTATACACATACATACACACACACATACATATATCTGAGAGTATTCTTGCGGGTCTTACTTGGCAAAGTGTAGACACCACACTTAGATAGGCATAGGAGTCTAGCAGTCAGTTGCGTGGGTAGAGCTGATTAGGTTGGATCTGCAGTCATGAGTTAAGTCAAAATTGCCTGTTTTAGTTCAGTTAACATAGCTAATTATCTGGTTAGACCATTATTTGCATACCCATTTATTCATATATAATATTTAAAGTTATCAGTGCTAATGACGTGTTATTTCACCTCATGAATGTTTGAATATTTCTGGAGATACCTAGTACCTGTGTTTCATGTTATTATTGTTTTTTTTATTTGTTACCCCTTCATGAAGTATATTGATGTGTTTGTGAAGCAGTCGTTTCTCTAATCCCTAGACAATTGATATTGGCAACGCCGCTTTTTTTTACTAATTATTACGACTGTAATGCACGTGAACCTTATCCATATGCAAGGGGCCTTAACAGCCTGCTCCAAAGTATATTTATTGATTCGAACATTGTTCACTTCCCATATTGTTCCAGTATGCGAGTAATAGTTCCATTCGACATTTCAAAGGGCGCATCCCCTCACAGAAAAATATGTAAACGTCTTGCTCAAATTAATCACTTGCACCGATCCTTTCCCATTAGGCAGACTGATAATGTCATCATCATGCTTTTTCAGAAAGAAAATGTCACACTGTTTTTAAATTTCATCACTATTGTTTTTTTCTGGCAGTGGCTGGAAACCAAACAATTCCTCAATCTTGATCTGTAGCACATTGAAGATCGTCGTGCAGACAAGGGCATGATCAATGTTACAACTAAACCTCCTTTCGCTTAAGTGGAGGTGTGTAGGATGTTGTTGTTATAGATTCAGCTACTCTGAACAAGTTCCAAGTAGCACGATGCTATGGTGAGCCTGTTGTGGACTTACCTGGCACAGGAGCGGTGATAGCACATACCACCTATATACCATATAGATAGACACATATGTGTCTGATGGGTGTGTAGGAACCGGTGATAGCACATATACCACCTATATACTATATAGATAGACACATATATGTGTCTGATGGGTGTGTAGGAACCGGTGATAGCACATATACCACCCCCCAATATTCACCTCATACGCGAGTCGTCAGGCTTAGTTTTAACTAAGTGTAGCTTTGATTTAGCAGACAACAAATTGACAAGATGAATCTATATAATGTATAGTAACAAACTTTTTTTCTGAATTGTATATCATTATTATATATTGTGGGTTTATGTATAGCTAGGTTAGGTGAGGTGTTTAGGTTATAGTGATTTAGGGACTGTTTACACTACAGCTGAAGGTGAACGCAGCAAGTTTAGAGTCATACCCTCGAACATGATTACGTTGACTTGACACTCATTTTTTTTTCTCGGTACAGTATTTGATTTATACGTCGTGAACCTCACAGTCCTGTTTTGATGACGTCCCGAAATCTTTTGATAACCACTAAACCTTTTGTTTAAGTCATCACCTACTTCTTTTGAGGTAGGTGATAGTCATAATCATTTTGTGTTGAAGTCATCATTTTGCTGTCGCCTGCAGCAAAATGACTACGGGCTCACCATAGCCCGTGCTACTTGGATCATTTAGTTCCAGGTAGCGAATCTTTAACAACAACAACAGCATAATGACATCAGTTTGATTTGTTCAAGCCTTGTATCATGCCATTATATATATCTGCGAATACTGTGCAGTTATATCGTAGTATAGTGAGTTTTTTCATTGTAATTAGCTATTTTGAGTGCCGCCAGGTGAGAGCTTTGCGACTTGCTCTAATATTCCAAGGCTGCCTCTAGTGACAGCTCCATTAAGTCGAGAGTTCTCCTGGCACCTCCCTGCCCCTTTCTTCGTACGTAATCCCTGCTTGATGGGGTTCTGGGAGTTCTTCTACTCCCCAAGCTCGGCCCAAGGCCAGGCTTGACTTGTGAGAGCTTGGTCCATCAGGCTGTTGCTTATAGCGGCCCGCAGGCCCACATATTCACCACAGCCTGGTTGGTCCGTCACTTTTTTAGAAAACAATCTAGTTTTCTCTTTAAGATGTCCACTGTTGTTCCGGCAATATTTCTTATACTCGCTGGGAGGATGTTGAACAACCGTGGACCTTTTATATAGTGTTCTCTGATTGTGCCTATGGCACCTCTGCTCTTCACTGGTTCTATTCTGCATTTTCTTCCATATCGTTCACTCCAGTATGTTGTTATTTTACTGTGCAGATTTGGGACCTGGACCTCTAATATATTTGTATTCATTGGTGTTATTGTATAACTGTATATTGCAAATTAATGTAAGACTTATATGTTTACTGTGTAATAACTCGCATGTGATGTTATCTTAATCAGTCTGGTTAGCTGCTTAACTTCTACTTAGTTCTTTCACCTTTGCAATATTGAGTATCCAGGTTGCATCAGTCACCCAGCTTCTGTAATGACTTAAAAATTACTGAATGAATTTGAAACAAAGAAGAAAGTGTTTTTGTTAATTAAACAGACTATTGGACAAAACGGTTTACTCTTACCTCCAAAGGATACCTGATCAACCAGGCTGTGACTCATACGTCAGGCTGCGAGCAGCCGCGTCCAACAGCCTGGTTGATCAGTCCAGCAACCAGGAGGCCTGGTCGACGACCGGGCCGCGGGAACGCTAAGCCCCTGAAGCACCTCAAGGTAAGGTAAGGTAAGGTACAAACCATTGATTAATTACTAACATCCATATTCCGATACGGATACGTAACAGACGTCACTATATCATTCCTGACCCTGTTTCAGAAGGCTGTAATAATTTTTTTTTTTTTTTTTTTTTTTTTTTGAGATATATACAAGAGTTGTTACATTCTTGTACAGCCACTAGTACGCGTAGCGTTTCGGGCAGGTCCTTAATCCTATGGTCCCTGGAATACGATCCCCTGCCGCGAAGAATCGCTTTTTCATCCAAGTACACATTTTACTGTTGAGTTAAACAGAGGCTATAGTTAAGGATTTGCGCCCAGTAAATCCTCCCCGGCCAGGATACGAACCCATGACATAGCGCTCGCGGAACGCCAGGCGAGTGTCATACCACTACACCACGGAGACTGCTTATTAATCAATTGCAAAATTTTGTCTAAAGCGTGGTATTTGTCTCAGCTTTCCCATAGACAAGAAAAGTGCTATAGAGATTGACAAAACTATTTTTAGATATGTATGGTATGGTAGATACCAACCAATTAAACGAACTACCCTATGTAAAGGTAAGAAAAACGGTGGAATAGGAATACTGAATGTGTACCATAAGTCATTGGCAATCTTATGTGTTACCTTTAGAAAGGAGATAATGCAGAGGGATAGTGTAAATGCACTAGGACATTCGTGTGCAATTGATGTTCTCAGGCGGATTTGTAATATTGAAGGTTTTTTAATGATGGACAGTAAACAAGTGTATGATGTTATACTACCAAATATAGTTCCTAGAGTAGAGGAGGCATATCCACTCTTTAGCTGGCAAGTAATATGGGCAAACCTTCATGTTAAATTTATTGACCCAAAACAACATGAGCTATTGTATGGCTATATTCATGAGACCCTTCCTACTAATGATAGATTGTTGATGTTGGGCATTAAGGACAACAATAGGTGTGACCAATGTACTGAAATTGAAAATAATATGCATATATTTTATTTCTGTAAGCAGAAAGTTGTTCTTGTAAATTGGATTAGAGACACTCTTAAAGCTTTATGTGGACCAAGTATTAGAGTGGAGTTAATAGGTTTTTAATGTTTCATATTGACATAAAATGCAAGAAAATTAGGAATACAATAATTATGTTACTTTCTGATTACATTTTTTGTGTGTGGATAGGCAGGCAGGAAGGTTACTCAGTAGACAAAATATTGAAGTTCTTGCGAGGCAGGATCAGGTATAACATTTGGGGTTTAAGGCTCATGATCGGTGATCATATGGAAAATTTGTTTACTGAGAATTATATAAAATATATATAAATGTAATAATTTCCCCTGTATTAATGTAAATTTATTCTCCAATTTTTGTAAATCGTTTATAGGTAAATAAGTATAACATTCATTTTTTTTAAAGATCTTGTTCTGTACTACTGAAACACTTGTTCACTAAGAATTGTAATGTATAATTGCCTTGTAAAACTTATGTATATGTAATTTATATTGTATTTTTTTAAATAAAGATAAAAAAAAAAGTTTGTTGTGGGCTGGATGAGGTAACAGCACCATTTATTGTGTTGAGCAATGGTCACAGTTGCACTGTAAATTACCCAAGCCCAGAATGCAGTAATACAGTTTCTATTGACATTACAAAAAGAAATAGATTTGCAAATATCATATTGTGCGTATTAAAAAACTTTATCAAGAAATTTTAAGCTGCAAAGTCATCAGCGATTTTACATACAATTTATTTAATTTTCAATACTGTTGATATGCTTGCAAAGAAAGCCTGTAGAAAACCAGTGGTAGAAATGATATGGGTGTTTCATTAGTAGTGACAAAGAGAATACTTAAACAAATATCTAATGAAGAACTCAGACCTAAAATATTCAAAAAGACCGGAAAGTTGTAGCATTAAATATTATGATAAATATCGTGAGGAGACATTCACATATGGGACTAATAGAACAAGAACCCAGCAATGTGATGTTATAGTGGCCAGAATACGCCTGGGATATAGACGTATCTGGCAGCTTTCTCAAAACCCAAATGTCGAGTACACAATGTGTCAACTTTGTGAAAGAGAAAATATGCACTCTCTTGAACATTATATTGTAGAATGTCCCATACTGACTGACTTTCGCCCTCCTGGGCTAAGGTATGCTGAACTGTGTAATTACTATATGAGTACTGGAACACCTGATATATTGGACTTGTACCCAAGATTAACCATGTAATGTATCAATTATACAATGTATGTATGTGATGTAACTATATAACCTGAGCTTGTAAAAGCACCTTCAGTGATTAAGTGCTTAATTGCACACCAGTTTCTCTATCAGCTATCTCACCCTGTCAGAGTAAAAGAGACAAATGTATGTGAATGCATGTGTGTGTGTGTATATATGTATGTATATATGTATATGTACGTATATGTGTGTGTGTGTGTATGTATATGTATGTGTATAAAGTATATATGGAAGCTGATCAGAATTACATTTCACCTTTGTAAATGCACATTAATGACACTATGTAAAAGACACATCGAGCACTTTATGTAGGGCATATTTAAATCTGTGTATCTATGTATTTACGTATGTAGGTTAGCTTAGCATTTTAAAAGCACCGAATCACCTTCTGTGGTTGATTGTTCAATAAACCCTTGAACTATATGTTTAACACATCTCTAACCCTGTCCATGGAGGACAGAACCTTGTCCATGGAGGACAGAAGAAAATGTATACATGATGGTTAGCATTGTAAATGTGTGGCCACGTCTGTGGTAGAAAATAATAATAAAAAAATAAATAAAAAAAAATGAATCTTGATAACTACAAGTTTTTTTTATCAAGATTAAGAAAATCAACACTTTAAATATTGTTATCTAATCACTCCAGGCACCAAATGTTATAAATTGCAAAAATTACGAGAACATTTGTTTTATTAACAAAACCTCTGAGGACGGTTATGGTAATCAACGTACCAAATGCAATTTACTATAAAAAGTAGCAGCTCACAAAATTCTAATTTTTTTTTTTTTTTGGGGGGGGGGGGGGCATTGGTTCTATAGGTTAGGTGGGTGACTTGGGTTCTGTGTGAATTTTGTACGTTGTGGCAATTTGAGAGAATAGGCTAGCGTAGCCTGGTGTGTTGTCAGTCAAAGGTCAGGTATGGAGAGGCCGCACCCTGTGATTTCAACCTCAGTGATGGGGTTATGACCAATGGCAGCCTGGACTACTTCCAACCCTGATGTTACCTCGCCAAAATGGAAATGGTTTTCGCAAGAAGGCTTTTCAGTTGCATAATGGCCTCGGGGGCGATTGTGGCAAGTAGGCTTGCTGTAAGGACAATTGAATGGGTGACCTTTGGTCCAAATCATAAATCCAAAATAATTTGATCCTATATTCGCCGAAGTCACTGTTCCTTCCGTTGTTGATCTACGAATATTGCAGCTGGTCTCCAGGGAAGCCAATACGTTAGTGTTACCTATCAGACTTTTGTCAATATAGGAATTAAACAAAATATTTTCTGAGTCTTGACCTATATGGTTCACACTATTTATGGCGGACCCGGCAAGGGAAGGCCCCAGAGTGCCGAGGCAGAGTAGCAGGAACTGCTGTGAGTGACGCAGGTGAGGCTGCACACGGATATAGACACGACCCAGACTCCTGTCACCAACACCCAGCTCCAAGAACACCTCAGATGGCAACTGTAAGGGAAAAGGTCATAACAGTCTGGTGGAACAGTGTCAAGTTAATGAACAACGAAACAAAAGTCGTTCATATTAACAATAATACCCAGGGGAAAACATGTGTGAAAAATTATGACAAAAAACAAAACAAAACTCGCTCATATTTAATAAGGGATACTTTAGTGGTTCATTCAATATGGCTATTTAGGCATCCCTTCCTTTCAGTGTCAGGAACAGATGGTGAGTCTTACTAATTACTGGGTTGACTATCACTTTTAGTCATAGTCAGTTTTAGCTATAATGCATTTAATGTTCAATATGTTTAAGAAGTTGAAATACTTCTTATTTTAGATCTAATTTGGTTGCAAATGAAAAAGCATTAATTGCCTTTTAAAATTAATTACCTTGTCTCAACTATGTTTACAAATCTTCTTGTAGAACGTCATAATTACCTTTAAGAAGAGAGGGGAGTTGACACGCAGGGCTTGTGAGTGAAGTAGGAGTCTACCATCCCGATAGTCCAGTTTGACACATTGACTGTTGGCAGGTGGTGCCTGCCGTTGTTTCTGCTGCTGCTTCTGTGTGGCGGCTTCAGCAGCCTCGGTCTTTCCTTCTGCAGCTGTGACAGCTCCGGCCTTGCCTTCTGCTGAAGCTGCACATTCTCTGGTGACTTCGACTTCTGTAGAATCATTTCTAGATAACAGAGAGTTTAATTTACTCATCTCTATATGTTTTACCTTTGCTTCAGAAACAAACAGGGAGCCGATACTGCAAACTTTTTCAATTTCCGATAAAAGAATCTTCATATTTTCCTCAAAATCATGCAGAAAAGTACTTTTAAGGCACAGAGTGCTAATCATCCGAGAGCTGTTGTAGAAAATATTTCTTATTTCCTCTTTCTTTTCGGCAATATTCTCAAATATTATAAGTTCGATTTGGTCCATGAGTTGATACTTCCTCTCTTGGATGTAGGCCTTGGCCAGGTGGACGTGGTGGCCGTTCTCGTGCTCGGAGTAGAGACATAGACTACACAGGGCCACCTTACACTCCAGACACCAATACTTCAGCTCATCCCCGTGCTTGCTGCAGGTATTACACTAACAGCAGAAATATCATTATTAATATTTCTAAAAACTATTCAACATCATGATGATAAATTTATTCATCAAGAGTTAGTAAAGTAAGTGTTTAGGTTTTATATGTGCTCTATGTTTTTTTCCAAGCTGTTGCGTTATATTAGCTCTACCGAGCTCTATCAAATGTATTATATTCCTAATAGAATACAAAATTGTTTTTAATATATATTACAGTATATTCAAATTTAAGTGAATATACCTTAGAAGGTATATTCACAATATACCTTAGAAGGTATATCAAGGTTACCAAGGTAGAACGTTTAAGACTCCCATGACTGAAAATTTGAAAAGTTTTATGATAAATGAATTTTAGAATTGATAACCAATTTAAATGAATTGGCAACATATTTGTCACACTGAAACAAATATGCAACCAATGTATAACCACTGTGTAACCAATTTATAATTATTATGAATGTTTAGTAAATGGTCATTGCTGCCATGTTTCCCCTAGCGACTGTACTACCGGGACCCTTATAGACCTTTAATTACATATGTAAATAGAACTACAATATCTGTTACATTAGTGAATTTTTCTCCAGAATACCTTATTGATATACAACTTAAAATACTTAAGTTCTTAAAATACAGCTTCCTATTGATAATTCCACACAGGCGGCAACTTTTGTAGAAGAGATATGAAAATCTTTGATGTTTACATTTGGGCAGAAAACAATATTTATTTTTACATATAAAACTTAAAGTGTTTAAGTATGGTCATAATGGGAAACTTCAAATAGCCAATATGCCAATGCATAACCAAGAACTACTTCTGAAAACGACTACCAGTGCGCTATACCATTCAATTTCAATAGGAAGTTTCCCATTATGACCATACATAAGCACCTTTAAAGTTATATATGTAAAAGATAATTATTGTTTTCTTCCCAAAAGCAAACATGAAAGATTTTCATATCTCTTCTACAGAGTTGCCACATGTATGCAACATTGCCATTTTTCAATAGGAAGCTACATTTTAAGAACTAAAATATTTTAAGTTGCTAGTCAATAAGGCATTCTTGAGAAAAATTTACAAACTTTACTGATAAGTTTTATTTATATATATAATTAAAGGTTTATTTCTCTTCGTATAATCATAGCACATCTGACAGTTATTTATTACCCCATGAGTTTACCTGAAAACCACTAAACTAGTGGCCTCAACGAGGACAGGAAGCCGGCGGCTTGTCGAAGGTCCCCTATTTGCCTTGATGATCTTTTCCAGCTGCACTTTAAAGGTTAACAGAGTTTTAGCATGAATAATCATGCAGATGTGCTTGCGACAGCGAGCGATAGCTCCCTAACTTTACCTTTCTAACCATTAGTTAATTATTACATTGACTTTTACTAATAAATTCAGGTAATGTTTCTCATTATACTTTTGATGTTGTTAACCTAGATCGCCTAGACCATCTCTTCGTGTAGTAGATTCCACGTATTAGCTATTCTTGTACTAATAAAGTGTTTCTGACATGCCTCAGACTCGTCTATGACTCAATCTTCTATCTTTGTTCCCTGGTTCAACCGGTTCTCATTTTAAGCATTGCTTCTGTCTATTCTCAGTTCCTCTCAATATCTTGTATGGAGTCATGTCTCCATTGTTTCCTCTGCTTTCAACGTTGTGGTCTAGAGTTCTCAGTCTCTTGGTGAAACGGATCTTCTTAGTCTTGAGATCACACTTCTGAATTTACTGTACCTTTAGGGTTTGTGTGTTGAAATTGCTGCTCATATTCTAAATCAATTATACATAATATTTTGTCATTATATGTAACCTGAATAACACGATTCATATCTTTGTGTTTTCTCATGTCAGAATAATTTGAAACATTTAAAATACTAAGCAAAATTTGCTAAGACCACAATATCAGAAATTCCTTGAAATTCGAGAATAGGCTCAGCGGGGAGAAGTTGGTAGAGAGATTTTCCACCACAACATTTAGGTGCTGTGACCTGCAGGTTGGACCAAAGGCGTTACCGATCTGCAACACACTGGTGACACAGCTGCGGCAGAAGGTGTGGCCGCAGGGCAGCACCAAGGGATCTCGCGGCCTCTTCTGGTACAGGTCTGAACACACGGTGCAGGTCACCACCTTCTCTGTACCACCTCTCTTTGCCAGGCTCTCCATGCGATCAACCATATTCAGCCTGCTTTGACTTCAATTATTGGGGAACAATGAGAATGTTTCTCGGAGACAGACGCCTCTGAATCACTCTCTCCAATTGACTAACCAGTGTGTGAGAGCACGCACGCACACACACTGCCTGTTCGAGGGTGGAGGCCAAATACTTAGGGCTAGCTTCAGCAAACTTTGTAGGATTAACGATGAATGTATCAGGAGTGGCATGGGGGGGAGGGAGGAAGGGTTGGCTTGGTATCCTCCTGAAAAGGGCGCACAGCCCCAAATGCCGCTCCTTCACGAAGTCTGTGGATGTGAAATGTAGCTGTGTGTGGGCAGGGAGGGAAGAGACATGGAAAGGATATGTGTGGGCTGAGAGAGCTGACAAGGGAAAAACGTATTCCAACAGGCTTGGAAACCTATTTATCAGTTGATTAAAAGTTGTGCTGTGGGACCAAAGAGTCACAGTTAAACCCCCAGTAAGCTTAAGTAAATACAATCACGTATGTACAAACATACGAGGAAATAAAACACATCAAATGTGCCTATAGTAGGAAAACAGCATGTAAAGGATTTGGGAATAATGATGTCTGACGACCTAACGTTTAGGGAGCATAACCAAGCAAATATTGCGTCAGCCAGAAAAATGATTGGATGGATTACGAGAACTTTCAAATCCAGGGATCCCATCACAATGGTATGGTTGTACTCTTCAAGTCACTTGTGTTGTCCCGTCTTGAGTACTGCTCAGTACTCACTTCCCCCTTCAGAGCAGGAGATTGCTGAAATAGAGGGAATACAGAGAACATATACGGCACGCATAGACGCGATAAAGCACCTAAATTATTGGGATCGTCTCAAAGCCCTCCAAATGTACTCACTATAAAGAAGACGAGAGAGATATCAAATAATATACACCTGGAAGATACTGGAGGGCCAAGTAGCAAATCTACACAGTAAAATAACAACGTACTAGAGTGAACGATATGGAAGAAAATGCAGAATAGAACCAGTGAAGAGCAGGGGTGCCATAGGCACAATCAGAGAACACTGTATAAACATCAGAGGTCCACGATTGTTCAACACCCTCCCAGCGAGCATAAGAAATATTGCTTGAACAACCGTGGACATCTTCAAGAGGAAACTAGATTTATTCCTCCAAGGAGTGCCGGACCAACCGGGCTGTGGTGGGTATGTGGGCCCGCGGGCCGCTCCAAGCAACAGCCTAGTGGACCAAACTCTCACAAGTCAAGCCTGGCCTCGGGCCGGGCTTGGGGAGTAGAAGAACTCCCAGAACCCCATCAGCCAGGTATCAACCAGGGTCGAACATCACTGCACCAGACGGCCAGTAATTAGGACCCATGAGATAGAGCTCAACCCCCCACAAAACAGCATGACAAAACACAAATACAAGAGATTTACCTAAATTACCTGACTTTCCATGTAGGTGGCAGATAGCCCGAGCAAGGAGAAGCAGAGAGGTAGGTCGTCGACCTTCAGGTGGCTGAAGTCTGTGCGGCAGGTCGGGCAGTAGAATTGGGTGCGGGTGCAGGAGTCGTAGTGGTTGAGGCAGCTGCGGCAGAAGGTGTGGCCGCAGGGCAGCACCAGGGGCTCGCGGGGCCCCTTCTCGTATACCTTGTTACACACGACGCAGGTCACCGCCTCCTCCATACCAGCTCTTCGCCAGGTTCTCCACACTATCAGCCACGTCTGAAACTAATATAGAATCAATCATTCCCTTTCCCTTCATCTTATTTTTTAATTTATAATTATATTAAATAAGTAATGGTAATGTCCTCTCACAGACATAATGACATACGATAAAAACCCACACTTATGCATTTATGAATTTTATATAAAGATTTACACCAAGTCTTTCACATTCTCCAGAGTGCTTTGTCAAGGTCTGAGTGCGTAGTTAGGACGATACTTACATCTCAAAGACTAATACGGCTGCTCTCATTAGTCTGCATTAGTCTCAACGACTCATGAGGTTGCCGCAATAGTCATTGGACGCAAGCCTCGTCCTAACCACACACTCAGACCTTGACAAAGCACTCAGAAGAGTGCGAAAGACTTGGTAAATATTTATATTAAATTCACAAATACGTAAGTGTGGGTTATAAAACATTATAAAATTTGACCAAAAATATTGTCATTTTATTTTTAAATCTAGCAAAACATTAGATTTAAATTTTTAGTTTGACTAGAATTTGGGCTGTATGCAAAGCTATAATAATTGTAATAAAATAATAAGATAGTCAATAGCCACATTTCCAGGATGATGCAGTGTCAGGTCAGGTTCACCTTTCTTTAGACAAAATATCTCAAAGGGATGGATTAAATTAGGCCCCTCAGTGTAAATTACAAGGCTTGTAGAGTAAATTACAAGCCCCTCAAGGGACTATTGCTGTCCTCTAATACATTACATTAGAGGATAGTAATTATTATAACAAAGGTTATTACCACCTGAAATACAAGTTCCTTAAGGGGACTATTACTACTATCCTCTATTAAAATTAAAATTCTCTTAATTTACACAGGAATATGGTTTTGCAATACATGCATCCTATTTATCATAAGTATTACATTAAAACAAGCTAATCACATATCAAATTTATACCAAATTTAACGATTACATAAAAATCAATTCAGTACATAATACAATAAAATCAATGTATCATTACATCCTCGGAGCAAAGTTTTAAACCTAAGAATTTTAAATCATAGCAATTACACCCACCCATAAAATTTAATGATACATTACAGATGTTCTTATTTCTATATTTATCTATACATTTCCATATCTATCACTATCTAGTACATAGTGATGCGTGAGCACACAGCATGGATTTAAAACTGGAAGCCCATGCTTTTCACAATTAATCAACTATGACAAAAACAAAATACAGAGATGGTATACACGGACTTTGCAAAGGCACTTGATATGAGATGAGATCAATAGGAATAGCAGGTAAAGTAGGGCGATGGATATTTGATTTCCTGCCCAATACAATACAAAGAATAAGTCAAAAGAACAGCTGTTAATCAAACAAAATCACAGTGAAAAGCTTTGTAACTCAGGGCACAGTCCTTGAATCACTGTTTTTTCTCACTGAATCAGCTATAGACAAAAATAAAAATCACAGTTTTGTATCATCTTTTGTCGATGCCACGCAAAATCAACATGAAAATTATGTCTGTTGAAGACATCGAAAGCTAAAAGGTGATATTAATAGTCTTCGATTGGGCAATGGACAATTAACATGATGTTCATTCAACGGTGATAAATGCCAGTTACTTAGGTTTGGAAAAAAATAAGAACTTAAGCAAAATACAGGATACAAGTCAGGTCTCATAGTAGGATAGCAACATGTAAAAGATCAGGGGCCAGAATCACGAAGCAGTTATGCATGTACTTAAAAACGTTTTTCTACTAGCATCTTCGTAGCGGCTACGTCGTGATTCAGGTAGGCATTTAATTATGAAAATCTTTGTAAGTAAACACCATCGCACTAAGAGCGCTCTGGACCACTCATAGCTTTACGCGAACTGGATATAACTCAATTTCTCTCTACTACACAAATCGGAGGATCGATTTTATTACAAACAAACATTTTTGCTGGCGAGTTTTATCAAGAAGGATTTCTTCATGTTAACTATATATGCATTCTCTGCTTGAAACTTGTAGTAAATATGTCTTTTTATATTATATTTAGATTTATAATAGCAAAAATATTATTCCTGTAGTTATTATGTAAATAAACACTGGTGAACTGGAGATATGAGAGCAGGTAATGACAGGAATGCTTGGATGCATTTACTATCTCCTCATGTTCACCTAGCAGTAAATATAGCTATTCTGAAGTTAGCTTGTTGTGAGGCTGCATCCTGTGGGGGGAGGGGGGGGGGGGACCGCAACACAGGTCTAACATGTATATAATTAATAATAATAATTCTTTGTGTTGGGGACAGGCAGCCAGAGTGCATAAGTGTACATGTTAGGCTTAGATCAAGGTCCTCCCCTCTCAAAGGTCAAATTACTGACCCTCCCAAGGATGAAACTCCACAAGCTGACCAACCCTGGGTACCCACTTACTGCTAGGTGAACATAAGCATTAGGTGATAGGAAATGCGCCCAACCATGTCTGTCATATTTTCGCATTTCAAGTTAGTTTTGTCTTCGTTAACTAACAGTCCCGTACGATGACACATTAACCACCAGCCTCGTATTAGGACACATTAACCACTAGTCTTTCTTATACGGGGACATTAACCACCAGTGCCTCCGTACCATAACATTAACCACTAGCCTCATATGGGGACACATTACCTACCAGTCCCAAACGGTAACAGATCTCCAAATGTTGTCTACCTGTTGTTTGTCCCAGCGGCCAGGTCTCTGACCAGGCCTCATAGTTGATGGTCTAGTCAGTTGGGCTGTTGGGTGCAGATACTCGCAGCCTGACGTGGGAATCACAGCCTAGTTCATCAGGTGTCTTTTGGAATTGTTTATAAAGTTTTCTCTTGAACAGTTATGTTTCCAACACCATTTGCATAGTCTCCGTGGTGTAGTGGTAAGACACTCGCCTGGCGTCCCGCGAGCGCTTTGTCATGGGTTCGTATCCTGGCCGGGGAGGATTTACTGGGCGCAATTCCTTAACTGTAGCCTCTGTTTAACGCAACAGTAAAATGTGTTGGCGGCGGCAGGGATCGTATTCCAGGGACCTGCCCGAAACGCTACGCGTACTAGTGGCTGTACAAGAATGTAACAACTATTGTATATATCTTGTATATCTCAAAAAAAAAAAATCAGTATTTTAAATGTCCATTCACTATTTATAGTACCATGTGACGAGACAAGTTATCTTGAGATGATTTCTGGGCTTAGTGACCTGGTCCTCGACCAGGCCACGGTCCTAGGAACTGTAAATACTGTTCACTTTGTCTACTCAATCCCACATAACGTATTTATTTTTAGTAAAATATATTTGTATCCGTCTATTCACCACTTTGTACAAGGAAAAGGCCTATTTCTTAGTTCAAAATTGCTATCTCACTAGACCCAACTCGAGCCCTTAAAAACAATAAGACGTACACTCACCTTTCACTTTAAGAGGCCACTTATCTAAAGACATTCACGGTACAACTATAACATACAAACTCACCACTGGGAAAACTGCGCACTGAACGACAAGTGCTGGCGAGCAACTGAGGAGCCTGTGACTGAATGATGTGGCGTTTGCCGTGTGTCAGTTTCCTGCCAGTAGACGGGACACGAACAAGAATTAAACACGTACTAGTTGATGGGCAGCCTAAAAGGACTTAGTTTTTTTATATATACTATGTGACTATTTATATATTATATCATTTGTATGTAAAGCCAAATTGATATTTTAAAATCTAATGCCATGCAAGAGAGGCCCACGAAAAACGCTAAAAGCTAATTGTCAGAAATTTGGCTTTAAAAAAGCTAATCTGGCAACCCTGGTCCGCAGGGACAAAATAAAAAAAAAAATAGGACTTGACAGGTGGCGTCGCGGTGGAGGCTGCGCGGTGGTGATGCGCATTGCAAGTTGGACGTCACAGAGTCATGCTGCACCACAGTCTCTCTCCGTCTCTACTCTATCTCCGTCTACTCTACATCTATTCTAAAAACAGTTCACAACCAATATTAAAAGTCACTGTAAATCATTAATGAAGTAAAGGAATGTTTGGTGCGGGTGTACGAGTATTGGGACGGAAGTGGGCGGAATCTGAGCTGCACTGGCAGGCGTACGATGCCACCCACGTATCCACATATCCAAACACAAGCTTGAATTTCAGTACTGTTAATGGCAAGATGAACACGAAATAAAGTATTAGAATTCTCTGTACTGTAGATGAACTGGAACAAAGGTTGTTCACAAACATTATTATTTTTTGAATTATTGCCTCTGGTCGGAATGCTATGCGTGTTAGTGCCTTTACAGGAATGTTTCACTTACCAACCTACATTTTCTCTTGTGTTCAAACAGATGATCTCGACTTGGTACAGTGTTCAGTTCGTCATGAACACAAGCCCTTCATAACTTTTCCTTTGTCAGTCTAATATACATCGATGCAATATATAATAATCTCACTTATATAATACTCCCCTATATATCAAAATTTAAAAGCGAATTATATCTCTTGTAAACCTTCACTTGCTTTGACAATTTGTTAAAAAAAAATTGTATACGTCTGTTTTAATATAATTTAATAAGACTAAACTTCGGCCGGGCTGTCAGTCAGATTTCCTGTCAATGTTGGCATCACTTCCAAGTGATTCATAATGTAGCAAGTGATTTACTACATTACGAAGACGTGCATCTTAGGACAACGTACAAGATATTTGTATTGATAAGTTTATCTAATGCTTAGTTAGATAAACTATAAACGTGTTTACCTCAAGACAATGTTGATGCACTCAAGATTGTCTCAGCTGTAATGTCATTCATTTTTTTTACCTTTATTTAATAAAATACAATAAAAATATTCGATCGTTTGGGGGTTATCAAATTATTATTTTCTGTATTCGAGTATTCGCAGCAATTTAAATGGAGCTCGGTAGACTCAGTGCAAATATATGGCAACTAAGAAATGAATAAACAGTAAGCACGGGTGCCGGTCGGCCGAGCGGACAGCACGCTGGACTTGTGATCCTGTGGTCCTGAGTTCGATCCCAGGCGCCGGCGAGAAACAATGGGCAGAGTTTCTTTCATCCTATGCCCCTGTTACCTAGCAGTAAAATAGGTACCTGGGTGTTAGTCAGCTGTCTCGGGCTGCTTCCTGGGGGTGGAGGCCTGGTCGAGGACCGGGCCGCGGGGACACTAAAAAAAGCCCCGAAATAACCTCAAGATAAGCAAGTACAGTAGATAGTGGTGAAGGAGCGTGGGAGTGTACTCACCTAGTTGTTTTTGCAGAGGTTGAACTTAGGCTCTTTGGTCCCGCCTCAGGGTGTCACCCAGTGCGGGAGTCCGCCACACTAGGCTCTCCCAGGCATCAACTGTGATAGGTTGAGTGAGTTGACAGCCCTCAGCTTCCTGACGTCAACTGTGTTCACGCTGAACACGCTTGTCAGCTTAAGATTTCTTAAGAGTGTGGGCCCATTTGAAATCCAACAGAACTCTTTTTTTTCCATCCATCCACAGTTACAGCCCCGCTCCTGTGCCAGGTAAGTCCACAATGGACTCACCATAGCCCTTGCTATTGGGAACTATTATTCCGAGTAGTTGAAGCTATCTTGAGTACTATCTTGAGATGATTTCGGGGCTTTAGTGTCCCCGCGGCCCGGTCCTCGACCAGGCCTCCACCCCCAGGAAACAGCCCGTGACAGCTGACTAACTCCCAGGTACCTATTTACTGCTAGGTAACAGGGGCATTCAGGGTGAAAGAAACTTTGCCCATATGTTTCTGCCTCGTACGGGAATCGAACCCGCGCCACAGAATTACGAGAAAGCTAAAACAACATCAACTCTTTTTCTCGACACCGCTGGCCGAGTAGATGTGATCCGGATAAAGTAGATTGTATTCCGGGTACAGTAGATTATGGTCCGGATAATACTGGCCGGTTGTTAGTCGGGTCCGGCCCGGGGTTCGTAGGTTGCTGACCCCCGATTTTAGTCACGTATATCAGCCCGACCTCATAAACAAAGGTCAAATGTTCGTTAATCTAGCCGCTAAACCTCTTTATGAATATAATTTTTTTAACACATGAGTGAATGAATTTTGATCTATTTTCGAACAGTTCTTTAACACGTCCTCTGTTCGAACTGTTCCTCGTTTAGGGCTTTAACCATTACTTCAAAGGTAAATAATTCAGCCCATCCTTATGAAATTATAGCATTTATAGTAACTATTTGGTTTAAAGTACTAGTATGTACTGATGGACCACCAAAAAGTTCACTTTTTTTTTACTTTTAACTTAATGTGTCTAGCAAAAATTAAGCTAAAACTAAACTTAAACGTTCCTAAGCTTAGGAACTTATATGTACTATATGTGCTATACTAGATGTATATGCTATACTAGATATATGTGTTATACGCTCTCTTATGCCTAGGATAACGTGTATTAGGCCTAGGATTGCTAGAAGAGGTTAGGTTTTATTTTTATGTTATAGTTAAAAAAAGTTTCCTATTTGGCCAAGTTCATTAATATAAAAGTCATCTTTCTGGTGGTCCATCATTACATATTGATACTTTCGACAAAAATAGTTACTGTAAGTTCTATCATTTTAGGAGGATGGACTGAGATAATTCCTTACAAACACCTAACCTACGCGAAATTATACACCAAATTCCAATATATAATAATAGGTCTATTGAAAATATAATTTTTAATTCACAATACATTAATTTTATTGAGGACATTTGGAGTCGTTTGCAGAGTGCATCTGGGAACACCCAGCGCATAGCTTCGAATCCTCATCCTGTGGATTTTCTCATTGATATATCAGGATAATGTGATTTATCTGAGTTCTGCTTATATAATGTTTTATTTTCCTAAAGGGAGTGTGGAGGCTGGATTAACAAGCACTTGGCCATTCAAGTAAGTTTATTGTGGACAATAAAGTAACTCTCAAAAGGATAAAGTAGCTTAGGTTACCTTGGTCTATTACAAGTCCCTTAAGGCGGTCACAAACAGTCCTACAATGTCCATACATCCTACTTATCGAAATTATTATGTTATAATGAGCCAATCACATATCATAATTATCATAACTATACCGAATATTGCAATTACATTACCATAATCCCATTACATATCACACTACCATAAATCCATTATATATATTACACTAAAATTAAGTTTATCACTAAATCCTAGGAGCAAAGATTTTTTTAACCATTTCAACCATCTATGGAATTTATTTTGTGGCACATTAAAAAAAATTCTAATATAGATGTTTCAATTTACATTCTATTACATAGTGATGATCTAGGGAACTGCTGCAGTCTTATGAGCCCATGCTAACCAGCTGTTATGTAAACCCACAAAAAACTTATTTATATGTCTAATCTTCGCTTGAAACCATCAATGACCTGGTGGATTTTCATGGTGCGTGGTCAGGGATCACCAGGCCACAATCAGTGATAGTGACCTCAGTGACGGGGTCATGACGGATTGCAGTCTGGACCACCTCCAGCCCTGACGACACCTGGCCGTAGGGACACTGGGGATACCCTCCAGGCTGACCTCTGGTGTATATAACGAAGCCAAATAAATTAGATCTCACATTCAGTGCTGCCAGAGTGCCTTCTGTCGCCGGACCTTGGTGCTGGTCGTCTGTATTCACATCAGTCAGTAAATTGTGTTGTCTCCTCTCCCCGTTTTGATCAATGTAGTAATCAACAGCGATGTATTCATTGACTTGGTCCATATTTCCAGCGCTTCCTATGGAGGACCCGACAAAGGAAGGCCCCAGAGTGCCGAGACAGAGAGCCAGGAACTGCTGTGCCCGTCGAAGATGGCTCTTCAGCTGGATATAGACACGGCCCAGACACCGGCCACCGGCACTCAATTCCAGGAAGACCTCAGATGGCATCTGTAACAGTTACAACAGGATTAGCAATATAGTACACCATGTTCTGGCCTAGCCAAGGTAACCTCAAGGTAGCCTAGTGCCTGCATTAGGCTTCTCCACCTCCAGTTTCACTACTGAACCGTCCAGACAATTGCAGGCCTCAAGAACAACAGCAAGGCTCTCCACCTTCTTAAAAAATGCGCTTGTAATACTATATGTCAAACTATATGGAGAGATCGAAGATTTAATATTTCACAATTACATAAACGAGATTGATCCTCTCAACACCTCTGGTCATGCTTCTGAACAATTTCAGTAATTTTATAAAATATCCAAATCAGCTTTTACAAATGTTATGGTACAAGCATGGCTTCATTGTCATCAAAATTTTTTTTTTATCTTTATTTAAGAAAATACAATATAAATCATATATACATAAGTTTTACAAGGCAATACTACATTATAATTCTTAGTGAACAAGTGTTTCATTAGTACAGAACATGATCTTTAAAACCCCTCAATGTTATACTTATTTTCCTTTAAACGATTTACAAAAAATGGAGAATAAATTTACATTAATATACAAGGGAAAGTATTACATTTATATATATTTTATATAATTCTCAGTAAACAAATTTTCCATATCATCACCGAGCATGAGCCTTAAACCCCAAATGTTATACTTGATCCTGCTTCACAAGAACTTCAATATTTTGTCTACTGAGTAACCTCCTGCCTGCCTATCCACACACAAAAAATGTAATCAGAAAGTAACATAATTATTGTATTCTTAATTTTCTTGCATTTTATGTCAATATGAAACATTAAAAACCTCATTAACTCCACTCTAATACTTGGTCCACATAAAGCTTTAAGAGTGTCTCTAATCCAGTTTACAAGAACAACTTTCTGCCTACAGAAATAAAATATATGCATATTATTTTCAATTTCAGTACATTATTCACACCTATTGTTGTCCTTAATGCCCAACATCAACAACCTATCTTTAGTAGGAATGGTCTCATGAATATAGCCATACAATAGCTCACGTTGTTTTGGGTCAATAAATTTAACATGAAGGTTTGCCCATATTACTTGCCAGCTAAAGAGTGGATATGCCTCCTCTACTCTAGGAACTATATTTGGTAGTATAACATCATACATTTGTTTACTGTTCATCATTAAAAAAAAAAACTTCAATATTACAAATCCGCCTGAGAACATCAACTGCACATGAATAAAAGTGAGGTGAAATAAAGGCAAGGTCAGTATACTCTGGCATATGTATCAAGATATAAAAGTGCTGCGGCTTGCAACAGTAGTTACCTTAAAATAAAGGTGACTGTCAACATTTCGTGTGAACGGGTGCAGCAAGAGTTTACCGTCCCTGAAGTCCAGCCTGGCATAGTGACTCTCTACTGTTTGATTAGTGGCAGGCGACATCTGTTGCGTGGTGACCACCGCGGCAGTCTTGCTCTCTTCTGCCGCTGAAGCTGTTGCTCCTGCTTCAGCTAACTCTGACGCTGCAGGTTCTCCGGCGACTTCGGCTTCGGATGATTCAGATAACATAGAGTTTAATTTTTGTAGCTCAATATTTTTTACTTTTTCCTCAGACAGAAACAACGACTCGATACTGCAAACCTTCTCAACTTCTGTTGAAAGAAGGTTCATGTCAGTCTCAAAATCATGAAGAAAAGTACTTGTTTGGCAATGCTGCCTCAACTCCTGAATGCTGTTGTAAAAATTACTTAAGATTTTCTTTTTCTTTTCGGCAACATTCTTGTCTATTATAAGTTTGATGTCGTCCTTGAGTTCAGACTTCCTCTCCTGAATGTAGGCCTTGGCCAGGTGGACGTGGTGGCCGTTCTGGTGCTCGGAGTAGAGACATAGGCTACACAGGGCCACCTTACACTCCCGACACCAATACTTCAGCTCATCCCCGTGCTTACTGCACGTATCATCACACTGACGGCAGAAATTATCATGATTAATATTACTCGGAGCCTATTCAACATCAAGAGTTACGAAAATGCTAAACTAGATATTATTTACTGAAGATTTGGTGACTACACTACTGAAGCTACTTTGTATATCTTTTATTTATGCAACACAAATATTCTCTTGCGGTGATTCCTAGTGTGATTTTTCTGCTTGTCACATACTGTCAACAATTGGAATGAGGAAGTTTTGCAAGCCACCTCCTTCTACAGTTTAAAGCCATATTCGATAAAGAATTCGGAATTCAGAATAACGAGTTAGGCCTCACATTATGTAATCTGTATCATGTGTTGAATGTTAACACAAATATGTATAGAAGGGCGTGAATGTGAAGATAAAGACCTGATGTCGAGCAGAAGAATGTGTAGAAATGTATAAGGAAAAATATTTTAACTTTATTTCTTTAATTCTTTATTTGTTTACTTATTATTTGTATTATTTATTAGATTGTGCTGTATTTGAATTAATATCTACGAAAACGGCATTAAAAAAATGTAGTTACCAGAAACTCCTTCAAGGTCAAGGAGATACTCAGGAGGGAGTAGTTGATTGCCAGCTTATTCACCACGACGTTCCTGTGGGAGCTCCTGCAGGTTGGGCAGAGGCAGTTACCGGTCGTCATAACGCTGGTGATGCAGGTGCGACAAAAGGTGTGGCCGCAGGAGAGCACCAGAGGCTCGTGGGGCCCCTTCTCGTACACCTCCGAGCAGCATCCACAAGACACAGCCTCCTCCATCCGGCTTCTCTTGGCTAGCACGATCTGTCCTGGCTCGCACGACCTGTCCTGGCTTGCACGACCTGTCCCAGCATGCACGACCTGTCCTGGCTCGCACGACCAGCCCCAGCTTGCACGACCTCTCCTGCCTCGCACGACCTGTCCTGGCACCCACGACCAGCCCCGGCTTGCACGACCTCTCCTGCCTCGCACGACCTGTCCTGGCTCGCACGACCAGCCCCGGCTTGCACGACCTCTCCTGCCTCGCCCGACCTGTCCCAGCATGCACGACCTCTTCTGACTCGCACGACCTCTTCTGGCTCGCACGCCCTGTCCTGGCTCGTACGACCTCTTCTGGCTCGTACGACCTCTTCTGGCTCGCACGCCCTGTCCTGGCTCGCACGCCCTGTCCTGGCTCCTACGACCTCTTCTGGCTCGTACGACCAGCAGCGTTGACAGTCTGGAATAAAATAATTATTAATTTAATTCACTGTGCCAAGGGACAGGTGGCCAGGATAAATGTACAGCCCATCCTTCTGTTTTGGTAGTACTTATATAGTAACGATGAGGTAGTACATATACCGACGTATAACGCAATTACAAAGTAGAAATCGGTACAATTGAATTTGGACAAACCGAAAAAAGATTTTCTACTTACGTTGCAAAGACAAATTAACCTAACCTAACCTAACTTTACCTTTCTAGGCCTAATACACGCTATCTGAGGCCTAATATAATACATATGTTTGCTATACTAGGCCTAGGAATATAATTTAAGATTATAATTTAAACTTAAGAATTTAAGTTTGTTTTTTAGCTTCATTTTTTTCGGACTATAAAGTGAAGAGTACAAAATTCTACTATCTAATTATTTTGTATGTTAGGCCCCCAGGGTCGAACCACAACAAGCTGAATAACTCCTAGGTACCTATTTACTGCTAGGTGAATAGGTGCATTAGATGATAGGAAACGCCCCAAACAATTTTTGTCCCACCAAGGATTCAAATCCGGAATTTCCGATTTTGAGTCGAGAAGGAACCTTATTGTACTATATATGCCCATATTTCGTACTGTCTTTCATCGTAGTTCCATATTTGGGAACAGATCAAATGTAGGTCACGAAAGGGAAGAAATTTAAATATATTATAGTTTTTTATATTCAGCTTGGGGAAGCCTAATGTTTTCTCTTCAGCTTGGGGAGGAGCGTAACGTCACTGAACAGCTAGCTGATGTTCAGTGTTCTCTAATGGGAATCTCTGTTCTTCACCCTGAATGTATACACTTTCCTATGGCACTGTGATACACTAGAGCAATCTTGAAGCATATACACGCAAGAGAGAGCTCCAGGGAGACGCATTCCCCTTAGGTTGTAAACCACTGAATTATTCCACACTTGACGATACAGGATGCTATGCAGAATCTTACCTCCCACACACCCCAATTCATGAAGGTAGGTGGGTGGTTTATCGGTACGGGTGGCTTGTAACTGGGCCAGAATGTGGGAGATCAGAGCACCGATAGTACCGTGAGAGGTCAGACCACCAGCAACACCGTGGAAGGGAAATCAGGAAACAACACCCGCACAAATTTGGGAGATCAGAAATCAACACTAGGAGCGCTGAGACTCTGCTGCTTATTTCCCCAGCTCGTCCTGTCTAGTGTTCACAACGTCATTAAATTGATGTACTAAACTTCTCAAACCTGTCCTAACCAAGAATCCACGAACAGAAAACAGGATATGTCGTCAATTTCGCAGGCTGCTATGATTCTTATACGTCAAAATGCGATGTTCTACTTGAGAAGCACTTTGAGAGAGACTGAGGCAATATCTATTTCGGTACTATCTATCGTGTGCTGTCTGTGTTATCAGCGACGGGTGTTGCTTATCATATAATTCGTTTTTTTTTTCAAATTATATCTCACGCTATCTTTCATTGAACCGAGCAGATTCAGCTGTGACCGAGTGATAGAAGAGGCTGCGTATAAACCCTGAATTCGGCAACATGTGTCGGAAAATCCGACACCATTTAATATATCATACAGATAATAGCTGTATTACCAACAAGTTACCCATAGAAAACGTAACTTGCAGTGGAATTACCGTTTAAAGAAAACGGGATATCATCACCACATACTATTATAATTCACCAGCTATTCTGCTGGGAATTATTCTTAAATACCTTAGTCTTTGGACTTTACCATCATAAAACATCTTATATAAATTAACTTAATTATCAATATTAAAGTAGAGTAAATGTGACCCTTCTATCACTTTCTGACATGTGGACAATGTAAGCCAGGCGTCAGAGTGAGGAAGGAGGGCAGCCATTGTTTATACGAGACCAGAGGCTCACACGGGAGCAAATTCGGCTCCTGTTAATTTTACTTGGACGTAGTGTTATGGAAACCAAAGGTGTACCATTTTCAACACGCTGTCAACAATTCAAGTTAAGTGTTCTTTCCGAAACCCATGTATCTTTCATTTATGGCCATTAATGTCATTATATAGGGTGATCCGGTTAGAGCACGTGGAAGCCTCAAACTAAAGGTAATTAAGCCAGGTCTTCATGTTCCATGTACTGTATAGTGTTTTCTCTGATATACTTGTCATATATAGGATTCTGGCTTCACAGCTAGCGCACTTTTGACAGGTCAAGACGAGGAAGCAAGATTTGTGCACCAGTTACTGGGTGATATGGAAGCTACCTCAAAGAGGATAATTTGGTGTCTACACCCTAGTTATACCTGGTGGACTAACCTGCTGTACTATAAGATAAGGAACCTCTTCAATGTATGTAGTTAATTCTGCAGTTTGATTGGCTGCATATATATTAATTTAATAACCCCCCTAATGTGTAGAGGATCGATTTGTGAGATTATGAGATTATTGCAGAAATACAGTCCACTTATCATTATACAAATTGCTATCGAAGTATATAAATTAACGTAAATATAAATTCATATAAATTAAACAAATATAAATCTCACAGGTCGGTTCCCACAACATGATTGTTCTTGTAAATCAGAGGAAACAAGAAGAGTTTTTAGCATTACGAGTTGACGCAGTAGTTGTATTAGTGTGGCAAAGTAGAAATTTGGATAGTATTAGTAGAAGTAGTATCAGTTCTTGGTATTGCACAAACATTCTGGGACTGGTTGGGGAGGGGGGCGGCATCCGGTTGCTGTATTTCGGCTCTTCAGATTTCTTAGCATCTGATAGATAGTAACTGTGTACTAGTAACTTGGTACTATGTAACCCTTCATATTGATAAAGGTAGCTGTATAAATTATCAGATACACTAGCATCATGTAGCTAGTTTTGGACACAAAATATTTTATGTAACCCTTCATATAGCATTGGGTAGCTGTATAAATGACAAAATTACTTACTGTCATCAAATAGCTTACTGTCATTTGTTCCAAAATGCAACCAGTATAGATATAAAAATTAACAATGGGTCTGATACAATTGAACCTTCGGGTGGAGCGGGTTGGGGGAAATACCGAGAGGCATAGGCTTCAGGCAGAGACATAACAGACACCGAAGCATGGACACAATCCCGACTTTGATCATAGTCATCGATTGATCCATTTATGAAACTCAAGCCCAAAGAAAATTTTGGCTTTTTTGGAAGATGAAAGAAATCAGAAACAAAAAGTATTGTTCGACGGTACAAGGAGAAAGTCTCTTTGGTCATGACGAAAGATCAAGTCGTCATTCCATGGATCGAATTTAGGCAAAGATTGAGGTCCTCCATTGAAGGTCAAAAAAGGAAAATCCTTCAATGAGCTCAAGACCTGTATTGTGTCCCGGTCTGAGACTTGTGCTGGATAATACTTACTTGGGGAGACGAAGAGGGACGGGGGGGGGTGGTTCTTGTCTGTAATGGAGGGGCGAGGTGGTCCACGGGATGGGGAGCACATCTGAAATGGATTTATTTAATCATTATTTATCAGTCCTTGCCACAGTTACAGCCCGCTCCTGTTTTTTGTAAGTACTCTACGGGCTCACCATAGCCTGTGCTACTTAGAACTTTTTGTTCCAAGTAGCTGAATCTAAAACAACAATAGTATTTGCCTCTTTCACAGTCTATTCACACACCTTTCAACCAGTTTGCAGCCCTCATCAATCCACCAAGATGTTCCTCACGTGTCCCCTCTCTTCCCTCACTACTCCACCTCACACCTCCCCTCCTTTCCCTCACTACTTCAACTCACGAAGCCTGCAAACTCATTCTTTCACCCCTTGAGAGAAAAATATAAAGGAAATTTGAGTAAATGTTGAGAGGTTGTCAGTAGGCTTCAGGGAAAAGGTCAAAGGGTGTTGTGATACGAGTCGGGTTCGTCTTGATTACTGGGAGCGTCTATGGCTCCTGCTCCTCTGCCGGGAGTCTTGTTCACTCGTTCGAGGGGTTTTTCTGACTAACTAGCCAACACGCGTGTCCCCACAAGTGAGCACACACATGATAGGAACGTATAAAATACTCAGGGGGATTGACAGAGTGAACATAGACGAAATGTTCACACGGAATAGTAACAGAACGAGGGGACATGGGTGGAAGCTGGAAACTCAGATGAGTCACAGAGATGTTAGGAAGTTTTCTTTTAACGTGAGAGTAGTGGAAAAATGGAATGCACTTTAGGAACAGGTTGTGGAAGCAAATACTATTCATAATTTTAAAACTAGATATGATAGAGAAATAGGACCATAGTCATTGCTGTAAACAACCGATGCTCGAAAGGCTGGATCCAAGAGTCAATGCTCGATCCTGCAGACACAAATAGGTGAGGACACACACACACATATTAGAAAGAACTTTTTTAGTGTCAGAGTGGTTGACAAATGGAATGCACTAGGAAGTGATGTGGTGGAGGCTGACTCCATACACAGTTTCAAGTGTAGATATGATAGAGCCCAATAGGCTCAGGAATCTGTACACCTGTTGATTGACGGTTGAGAGGCGGGACCAAAGAGCCAGAGCTCAACCCTCGCAAACACAACTAGGTGAGTACACACACACACACACACACACACACACACACACACACACACACACACACACACACACACACACACACACACACACACACACACACACACACACACACACACACACTAGAAAGTGTGTGTGTACGTAAATTACGACAATTACAAAGTGTGTGTGTACGTGTAAATTACGACACTAGAAAGAAGAAGGGAGAGGGGGGACATGATAGGAACGTATAAGATACTCAGAGGAATTGACAGAGTGGACATAGACGAAATGTTCACACGAAATAGTAACAGAACGAGAGGACATGGATGGAAGCTTGAAACTCAGATGAGTCACAGAGATGTTAGGAAGTTTTCTTTTAGCGTGAGAGTAGTGGGGAAATGGAATGCACTTCAGGAACAGGTTGTGGAAGCAAATACTATTCATAATTTTAAAACCAGGTATGATAGGGAAATGGGACAGGAGTCATTGCTGTAAACAACCGATGCTCGAAAGGCGGGATCCAAGAGTCAATGCTCGATCCTGCAGACACAACTAGGTGAGTACAACTAGGTGAGTACACACACACACACACACACACACACACACACACACACACACACACACACACACACACACACACACACACGCACACACACACACACACACACACACACACACACACACACACACACACACACACACACACACACACACACACACACACACACACACACACACACACACACGTGAGGTAATGAAACTAGGTGAAGGAAATAGAAGGCCAGACACAGGATACCGAGTGGGAGATGAAGTCTTCCACGAAACGGACAGAGAGAAAGATCTAGGAGTTGATATCATGTCAAACCTGTCTCCTGAAGCCCACATCAAAGGGATAACATCGGCGGCGTGTGCGAGGCTGGCTAACATCAGAGCTGCCTTCAGAAACCTTCAGAAATCTACGTAAGAACTCTTTCAGAACCTTATATACCACGTATCTAAGGTCAATCCTGGAGTATGCGGCCCCAGCATGGAGCCCGTACCTTGTCAAGCGCAAGACGAAGCTGGAAAAAGTTCAGAGGTATGCCACTAGGCTAGTCCCAGAACTAACAGGCATGAGTTACGAAGAAAAGCTGAGTGAGCTGCACCTCACATCGCCGGAAGACAGAAGAGCTCGGGGAGACATGATCACCACATACAAAATTCTGAGGGGAATTGACAGGGTAGACAAGAATGGATTATTTAACACGGGTGGTACATGCACAAGGGGACACAGATGGAAGCTGAGTACCCAAATGAGCCACAAAGGCATAAGAAAGAACTTTTTCAGTGTCGGAGTAGTTAGTAAATGGAATGCATTAGGCAGTGATGTGGTGGAGGCTGACTCCATACACAGTTTCAAATGTAGATATGATAGAGCCCAGTAGGCTCAGGAACTTGTACACCAGTTGATTGACAGTTGAGAGGCGGGACCAAAGAGCCAAAGCTTATGTGTCATATTCGCCACGTGTCATACCCGTCACGTGTCATGCCCGTCACGTGTCATACCCGTCACGTGTCATACCCGTCACGTGTCATACCCGTCACGTGTTACCGTCACGTGTCATACCCGTCACGTGTCATACCCGTCACGTGTCATACCCGTCACGTGTCATACCCGTCACGTGTCATACCCGTCACGTGTCATACCCGTCACATGTCATGCCC